CGTTGAAAAAATATTCTTTAAAAAATCCACGTTTCTTGGTCTTTTGGTCGTTGAAAAAATATTCTTTAAAAAATCCACGTTTCTTGGTCTTTTGGTCGTTGAAAAAATATTCTTTAAAAAATCCACGTTTCTTGGTCTTTTGGTCGTTGAAAAAATATTCTTTAAAAAATCCACGTTTCTTGGTCTTTTGGTCGTTGAAAAAATATTCTTTAAAAAATCCACGTTTCTTGGTCTTTTGGTCGTTGAAAAAATATTCTTTAAAAAATCCACGTTTCTTGGTCTTTTGGTCGTTGAAAAAATATTCTTTAAAAAATCCACGTTTCTTGGAGTGATGGTCGTTGAAAAAATATTCTTTAAAAAATCCACGTTTCTTGGAGTGATGGTCGTTGGAAAAATATTCTTTAAAAAATCCACATTTCTTGGAGTGATGGTCGTTGAAAAAATATTCTTTAAAAAATCCACGTTTCTTGGAGTGATGGTCGTTGGAAAAATATTCTTTAAAATATCCACGTTTCTTGGAGTGATGGTCGTTGAAAAAATATTCTTTAAAAAATCCACGTTTCTTGGAGTGATGGTCGTTGAAAAAATATTCTTTAAAAAATCCAAGTTTCTTGGTCTTTTGGTCGTTGAAAAAATATTCTTTAAAAAATCCACGTTTCTTGGTCTTTTGGTCGTTGAAAAAATATTCTTTAAAAAATCCACGTTTCTTGGTCTTTTGGTCGTTGAAAAAATATTCTTTAAAAAATCCACGTTTCTTGGTCTTTTGGTCGTTGAAAAAATATTCTTTAAAAAATCCACGTTTCTTGGTCTTTTGGTCGTTGAAAAAATATTCTTTAAAAAATCCACGTTTCTTGGAGTGATGGTCGTTGAAAAAATATTCTTTAAAAAATCCACGTTTCTTGGTCTTTTGGTCGTTGAAAAAATATTCTTTAAAAAATCCACGTTTCTTGGTCTTTTGGTCGTTGAAAAAATATTCTTTAAAAAATCCACGTTTCTTGGTCTTTTGGTCGTTGAAAAAATATTCTTTAAAAAATCCACGTTTCTTGGTCTTTTGGTCGTTGAAAAAATATTCTTTAAAAAATCCACGTTTCTTGGTCTTTTGGTCGTTGAAAAAATATTCTTTAAAAAATCCACGTTTCTTGGAGTGATGGTCGTTGAAAAAATATTCTTTAAAAAATCCACGTTTCTTGGAGTGATGGTCGTTGGAAAAATATTCTTTAAAAAATCCACATTTCTTGGAGTGATGGTCGTTGAAAAAATATTCTTTAAAAAATCCACGTTTCTTGGAGTGATGGTCGTTGAAAAAATATTCTTTAAAAAATCCACGTTTCTTGGAGTGATGGTCGTTGGAAAAATATTCTTTAAAAAATCCACATTTCTTGGAGTGATGGTCGTTGAAAAAATATTCTTTAAAAAATCCACGTTTCTTGGAGTGATGGTCGTTGGAAAAATATTCTTTAAAATATCCACGTTTCTTGGAGTGATGGTCGTTGAAAAAATATTCTTTAAAAAATCCACGTTTCTTGGAGTGATGGTCGTTGAAAAAATATTCTTTAAAAAATCCACGTTTCTTGGTCTTTTGGTCGTTGAAAAAATATTCTTTAAAAAATCCACGTTTCTTGGTCTTTTGGTCGTTGAAAAAATATTCTTTAAAAAATCCACGTTTCTTGGTCTTTTGGTCGTTGAAAAAATATTCTTTAAAAAATCCACGTTTCTTGGTCTTTTGGTCGTTGAAAAAATATTCTTTAAAAAATCCACGTTTCTTGGTCTTTTGGTCGTTGAAAAAATATTCTTTAAAAAATCCACGTTTCTTGGAGTGATGGTCGTTGAAAAAATATTCTTTAAAAAATCCACGTTTCTTGGAGTGATGGTCGTTGGAAAAATATTCTTTAAAAAATCCACATTTCTTGGAGTGATGGTCGTTGAAAAAATATTCTTTAAAAAATCCACGTTTCTTGGAGTGATGGTCGTTGGAAAAATATTCTTTAAAATATCCACGTTTCTTGGAGTGATGGTCGTTGAAAAAATATTCTTTAAAAAATCCACGTTTCTTGGAGTGATGGTCGTTGAAAAAATATTCTTTAAAAAATCCACGTTTCTTGGAGTGATGGTCGTTGAAAAAATATTCTTTAAAAAATCCACGTTTCTTGGAGTGATGGTCGTTGAAAAAATATTCTTTAAAAAATCCACGTTTCTTGGAGTGATGGTCGTTGAAAAAATATTCTTTAAAAAATCCACGTTTCTTGGAGTGATGGTCGTTGAAAAAATATTCTTTAAAAAATCCACGTTTCTTGGAGTGATGGTCGTTGAAAAAATATTCTTTAAAAAATCCACGTTTCTTGGAGTGATGGTCGTTGAAAAAATATTCTTTAAAAAATCCACGTTTCTTGGAGTGATGGTCGTTGAAAAAATATTCTTTAAAAAATCCACGTTTCTTGGTCTTTTGGTCGTTGAAAAAATATTCTTTAAAAAATCCACGTTTCTCGGTCTTTTGGTCGTTGAAAAAATATTCTTTAAAAAATCCACGTTTCTTGGTCTTTTGGTCGTTGAAAAAATATTCTTTAAAAAATCCACGTTTCTTGTTCTTTTGGTCGTTGAAAAAATATTCTTTAAAAAATCCACGTTTCTTGGAGTGATGTCGTTGAAAAAATATTCTTTAAAAAATCCACGTTTCTTGGAGTGATGGTCGTTGAAAAAATATTCTTTAAAAAATCCACGTTTCTTGGAGTGATGGTCGTTGAAAAAATATTCTTTAAAAAATCCACGTTTCTTGGAGTGATGGTCGTTGAAAAAATATTCTTTAAAAAATCCACGTTTCTTGGAGTGATGGTCGTTGAAAAAATATTCTTTAAAAAATCCACGTTTCTTGGAGTGATGGTCGTTGAAAAAATATTCTTTAAAAAATCCACGTTTCTTGGAGTGATGGTCGTTGAAAAAATATTCTTTAAAAAATCCACGTTTCTTGGAGTGATGGTCGTTGAAAAAATATTCTTTAAAAAATCCACGTTTCTTGGAGTGATGGTCGTTGAAAAAATATTCTTTAAAAAATCCACGTTTCTTGGTCTTTTGGTCGTTGAAAAAATATTCTTTAAAAAATCAACGTTTCTTGGTCTTTTGGTCGTTGAAAAAATATTCTTTAAAAAATCCACGTTTCTTCAACTAATGGTCGTTGAAAAAATATTCTTTAAAAAATCCACGTTTCTTGGTCTTTTGGTCGTTGAAAAAATATTCTTTAAAAAATCCACGTTTCTTGGTCTTTTGGTCGTTGAAAAAATATTCTTTAAAAAATCCACGTTTCTTGGTCTTTTGGTCGTTGAAAAAATATTCTTTAAAAAATCCACGTTTCTTGGTCTTTTGGTCGTTGAAAAAATATTCTTTAAAAAATCCACGTTTCTTGGTCTTTTGGTCGTTGAAAAAATATTCTTTAAAAAATCCACGTTTCTCGGTCTTTTGGTCGTTGAAAAAATATTCTTTAAAAAATCCACGTTTCATTAAGTGATGGTCGTTGAAAAAATATTCTTTAAAAAATCCACGTTTCTCGGTCTTTTGGTCGTTGAAAAAATATTCTTTAAAAAATCCACGTTTCTCGGTCTTTTGGTCGTTGAAAAAATATTCTTTAAAAAATCCACGTTTCATTAACTGATGGTCGTTGAAAAAATATTCTTTAAAAAATCCACGTTTCATTAACTGATGGTCGTTGAAAAAATATTCTTTAAAAAATCCACGTTTCTTGGTCTTTTGGTCGTTGAAAAAATATTCTTTAAAAAATCCACGTTTCATTAACTGATGGTCGTTGAAAAAATATTCTTTAAAAAATCCACGTTTCTTGGTCTTTTGGTCGTTGAAAAAATATTCTTTAAAAAATCCACGTTTCATTAACTGATGGTCGTTGAAAAAATATTCTATAAAAAATCCACGTTTCTTGGTCTTTTGGTCGTTGAAAAAATATTCTTTAAAAAATCCACGTTTCTTGGTCTTTTGGTCGTTGAAAAAATATTCTTTAAAAAATCCACGTTTCTTGGTCTTTTGGTCGTTGAAAAAATATTCTTTAAAAAATCCACGTTTCATTAACTGATGGTCGTTGAAAAAATATTCTTTAAAAAATCCACGTTTCTTGGTCTTTTGGTCGTTGAAAAAATATTCTTTAAAAAATCCACGTTTCATTAACTGATGGTCGTTGAAAAAATATTCTATAAAAAATCCACGTTTCTTGGTCTTTTGGTCGTTGAAAAAATATTCTTTAAAAAATCCACGTTTCTTGGTCTTTTGGTCGTTGAAAAAATATTCTTTAAAAAATCCACGTTTCATTAACTGATGGTCGTTGAAAAAATATTCTTTAAAAAATCCACGTTTCTTGGTCTTTTGGTCGTTGAAAAAATATTCTTTAAAAAATCCACGTTTCATTAACTGATGGTCGTTGAAAAAATATTCTTTAAAAAATCCACGTTTCTTGGTCTTTTGGTCGTTGAAAAAATATTCTTTAAAAAATCCACGTTTCTTGGTCTTTTGGTCGTTAAAAAAATATTCTTTAAAAAATCCACGTTTCTTGGTCTTTTGGTCGTTGAAAAAATATTCTTTAAAAAATCCACGTTTCTTGGTCTTTTGGTCGTTGAAAAAATATTCTTTAAAAAATCCACGTTTCTTGGTCTTTTGGTCGTTGAAAAAATATTCTTTAAAAAATCCACGTTTCTTGGTCTATTGGTCCTTGAAAAATATTCTTTAAAAAATCCGCGTTTCTTCAACAAATGGTCCTTGAAAAAATATTCTTTAAAATTTCCTACAGGGTAGCCCTATTAAAAGTCAATTATGGCAATTCATGCTTCAGTTTATTATTTTGAAATTAAATAATTTAACAAAAACCGGACATGCATTTACCATCCATGAGAATATCAGACTCCAATACAAATCCCTCATCAAATTCCAATTTCTTTACAATCCAGTCGAATATTGCACCTGACATTTATCGGCCTCATACATTTTTCTCTCCTCTGGGAATAGAGCCATAAATACCATTACCATTTTCTGTTGTTTAACATAGTCCGTTTGTTGGGCAAATTTCTTATGCCACTCGACAAGATCTTCCGACTGAGCCGAATTATCAACTCCATTTAAATAGTTCTCCACAGTTTCCTTGAGGAATGCAAAGAATTGTTCATTGGAATTTCTGCTAATCGAACGCATTGGCACGCATTCATGTACTTCTTGACCCAATCACGTCTCAACTTTTCATCATCGACTGAATCGAAAAGATGGCGTATCTCCTCATGCGTCTCCTTCAATGCCAATTGTTTGGCACAATTATCCGGTTGGGCTTTGAGATCTTGAAGTTCTTCGGAGCATTTTTTAAGTTGTTCATGAAATTTATTATAGATTGAGGATGTTTGGAGATTTTCATCAGATTCCGACCACTCTTTTAGGACATTTAAATATTCCTCAAATGTGCCCAAGATTTCTTCGGACCAAACGGATTTTTGCAATTTCCCGGCTACCGTTTCGAAAAGTTGATAACCTTTGCTCTCTTCGCCACTGCCACTGGGAGCACCCAAGGCAACCTGCAAAAATATTGAGATTTTTAGAAAATAATTATTTATTATTTATTTATTATTTAATACTTACCACTATGCCTAAGGCTACCAGAAAAATTGCAATGATTTTATTCATTTTTGTTTTGATTTGTATTCGATCACCTTGCCTTTGCGACTGATGCCCAATCATGCTCTTGACCGCACTTTTATACATTATGTTTGTTTGTTTATTTTTGAATTTCTTATCACCTTATTTGCCTGCCATATGTTCGATGCCAAGCATTCGCACTATCAGCGGTTTCAATTTAAATTGTATTTCATAGAAAAAAGATCTCTATTTTCTTATCAATTTTAATATTTGTGAGAAATTCGATAATTTTGAGTAATTAAGAAATTACAGGGATTCTCAGAAGAAAATCAAAGTCATTGCAAAGATTTTGTTTACAGGAGAGCAAAATTGACCAAGGAGAGAAAAAATGGCCAAGGAGAGAACAAATGGCCAAAAGATATACTCTTGAGAATATGAAGATATAAAAGAGAGTGAATAAATCGATAAATACCAAAGAAGGTAAGGAAAATACAAAATATCGATACCAAAAAGTGACCAGAGAGTATCAGGATGCAAAAATCGATGAGAGAGAAAAAAAAACAAAATATCAATACTAGTGATATAATAGGTGTGTCTGGTTACTTTTCCTGCAGGAATTGTCCAGTAACTTCTTTCTGAGAGAGTAAGGTAGTTTTATTCTCTTTTGCAAGGAAAATGCGAAAAGTAAACAGACGGTATTCCTGCAGAAGCTTGCAACTAATCAGCTGATTTGTCAAAACAAACCAATTTGTCCCCCATAAGGAGAATTAAAACAAAGGAACCAATACTAATTTTACAAGTTTTTTAAATAAAAATGTTGAAAATAGCCTTTTACTTTTTTATTACATATTAACATTTACGTTTTTCACATTTTGTAAAGTTGTTCTCCAAAAACTATTAGTCTTGCTAATTCCAAAAAAATATTTTCAAATTGAAAGCACAAAAATAAATAAACAAACAATAGAAAACATCTGATTGAATGTCGATGAATGAGAAGAAGAAGAGTTGCAAGCGATTGCAAGAAGAAATTTTTCCAGCAAGAATTTGCAAACTCTCACTGAAAGAACTGTCAAAATTTCTCTCTCCGACCGCTCTCTTTTGCAGAACTTTTGGGTTAACAGACGACTTCCAGTAACAATTTGTAACAATTGTTACAAACTTTAGGGTAACCAGACACACCTAATGTTGAGAGTACGAGGATACAAAAGAGAATGCATAAATCGATAAATACTAAAGAAGATAAAGAAAATACTAAATATCGATACCTAAAAGTGGACAAAAGATGTTATTTTCGATGTATGGGGATAGAAAAAAGAAGATGCATAAGTCGATGAATACTAAAGATAAAGATAATGCAAAAAAATCAATACTAAAATATGTACCAAAGATATAATCATGGGAGTATGAGGATACAAAAGGGAGAATTCATAAATCGAAAAAATACTAAAGAAAAATATCAATACCAACAAATAAAAAAGCATCATTCGGATTTGCCGACAGGTGTATACTCTCAGCTAATGTTCGATTATTTAAATGTTATTTGGCCTCTGTTGTGAATGTTCAAATTGTTGACCCTCTATGGAGTAGGTTCCGAAGGGATGGACCAATATTGTCCATTTCATATCGGACCTAAATAAATATGATATAAATATTGCGACTTGCCAAGCTTGGGCTATATCGACTACATTCTTCACTTTATTTGAGATACGTGATAATTTTTAAGGAAATGTAAAAAAGTGCATGGGGTACCAGATATATAGTCGACCGATACATCGATACATATAAAAATATTGATATGGGCAAAATTACAAGAAAATCGAACATTTATATCAAATTTTATGCGAAATCATAAATTCCATATTGATCTCAGATTTCTGCTTTAGAGAAATATTTAGAAATATGGCAAGTTGTAAACAATCGCTGACTTGTTTCGCAAATTATGACAGATATATGTATTGGAAATTGTAAACCTTTGTGGGTGAGGTACCAGAAGGGGTTGGCAGATATGTATCATCTTCCCAACACATTTTGTGTTAATAAAAATATTGTGATTTGTGAGATTTGAGCAGAGTTGGATTCTTATTTCGCTATTTTTGAGCGTTTTGTTGTTCAAAATCTTAAACCCTATGTGGGGGTGGTATTAGAAGGAGTGTGCCGATATATCCCATCTTCACAGCAGATCTTGTGTTAGTAAAATTAATGGGATGTGCAAAATTTGAAAAAAAAAAACCATATGCTCATATCGAGTTTTGACCGTTTTGTTTATTCAAAATTTTGAACCTTTGTGGGGGAGATACCAGAAGGAATGATCCGATCTCTGCCATATTTATACCAGATCTAGTGCTTATGGAAATATTGAAATGTACCAAATCTGATTGGAATCGAATGTTAATATCGCGTTTTATGAGCCGCATGGATATTTAAAATTTTGACCCTTTGTGGGGGAGGTACCAGAAGGAGTGGACCGATTTATTCCATCTTAACAACAGACCTTGGGTTAATAAAATTATTGGGATGTGTGAAATTTGAAGACAATCAGACTCTTACATCACATTTTATAAGAGTTGTAATTATTCAAAATATTGACCCTTTGTGAGGGAAGAACTTGATGGAGTGGACCGATATTGTCCATTTTCGCACCTGACCTAGCACTGACGCAAATATTAGGATTTGCAAAGTTGTAGCAAAATTGGATTATCCTTTCTCTTTGTGTGCAATAAAATATTTTCTTTGAAAATTTTGACATTTTGTGGGGGAGGTACCAGAAGGGGTGAACAGATATTGTCCATCTCCAAACTCGATCTAAGTTTGACAATAATATTACGATGTACCAACTTTGGATAAAATCGGATACTCCCTTCGAGAGTTATCGTGCGCACCAACTAGACAGACAGACGGACGGATGGATGGACGGATGATTTTAGCGACATTATTCACCCGAATTGTTTCAAATTTGGTATCTGAAGTTCGTAATGGGTACTACAGCCCATGACAAAAAACTTCGTAAGCAGGTCCACGTCTTCGTATAGTTTCCATATAACAGTTTTCATTTAATTGGTAGTTTCCGGAAGTTTTTTTTTTTTTGCAATTTTTCAAGTTCCTTCCAAATGATGGAGGGTATTAAAAGTTCAGCCCGGTCGAAGTTAGCTGCTTTTTTATTTGTTTTTTTTTTCTTTTTTTAAGAAAATTCACATCTTTTAAACGCCATTGATTATCATAAAATTATATAAAAATTCACGTTTATTGGGCGCCTAGCGTGTTTGTTTCTAAAATTGAATTGGGCGCCATATCGGCTTCCAAAAAACTTTCAAGAATCCAAGTTCTTTTTACTAAGCTCTCTATCTTTCAATCCATTGGGCGCCATGAATTCTCCTTCAATGGTTTAAGAAATCCACGACTATTGGGTGCAATGGGCGCCTATAAATTTGTATAAAATATCCAGTTATTGGGCGCCATGAATTCGCCTAAAATTGTTTAAAAATTCAAGTTTATTGGGCGCCATTGGACCGCCTAGAATTGTTTAAGAAATCAAATGCCAAGCGTATTTGTTCCTGAAATTGTATTGGGCGCCATTTAGCCTTCAAAAAATATTTCAAAAATACAGGTTATTTTTATCATGCTCACTCTCCAAGTCTATTGGGCGCCATGAATCCTCCTTCAAATGTTTAAGAAATCCAAGATTATTGAGGGCAATGCATCCCTTTAAAATTGTATAAAATATCCTCTAAAATTGTTTAAAAATTCACCTTTTTTGTGCGCCATTGGACCTCCTAGAATTGTTTAAGAAATAAAATGCCAACCGTGTTTGTTACTAAAATTGTATTGGGCGCCATATTGCCTTCAGAAAATATTTCAAAAATACAGGTTATTTCTATTATATTTATTTTATCCACGTTTTGAGCGCCATGGGACCTCCCAGAATCGTTTAATAAATCCATGCCAAGCGCGTTTGTTACAAAAGCTATATTGGGCGCCATATAGGCTTCTAAAAATCCACTTTTTTTTGACTATGCTCTCCCTTACTGCATTGGGCGCCATGAATCCTCCTTTAATGGTTTAAGAAATCCACGATTTTTGGGGGCAATATATCCCTTAAAAATTGTATAAAATATCCAGTTATTCGACGCCATGAATTCGCCTAAAATTGTTTAAAAATACAGGTTTATTGGGCGCCATGGGACCTCCTAGAATCGTTTAAGAAATCAAATGCCAAGCGTGTTTTTTTCTTGAAATGGTATTGGGCGCCATATAGCCTTCTAGAAATCAACGTTCGTTTTACTATGCTCTCTCTCGCTCTCTCTCTCTCTCTCATAATCCACTGGGCGCCATGAATTCTCATTTTATCGTTAAAAATCCAAAATTGTATTGGGCGCCAAATTGCCATGTTCTTTTACTATGTTCTCTCTCTCTCTCTCTCTCTCTCTCTCTCTCTCATTCTCCCAAGAAACGAGCCTTTTTGGTTTTATGAACGGCGTTCATGAAATCCAAAAAAATAATCATATTGACAATAATCATAACCTCCCTGTAAATATTGTTTAAAAAAATCCCCAACTGATTTGAGCCTTTGTTTCCATTTTTCCGAAGCGCAGATGACTTTAAATCTCTTTTCGAAAAATTGTCCATATTTTTATTATTTCTTAAAATTTATGAAATTTCTCATGAATATTGAAATTTATGAAATTTCTCACGAATATTGAAATTGATAAACAAGAACTCAGTTTTTCACACGAATTTTTAGTTCAACTGTGAAAATCGGTGATAATGAAAAAGGCCTAGCATCGAACATATGTCAGGCAAATGTGGTGATAAGAAATTCGAATAACAATCTAGATGTATAAAAGTCCGATGCCAAACGTGGCTGGTTATCAGTGCAGCACAGACAAGGTGATCAGCGAGAAATCACAAAAGAAAGTTCAAAATTAAAAAAAAATGAATAAATTTATTCCAATTTTTCTGGTAGCCCTTGGCGTTGTGGTAAGAATTATAAAAAAAATCAAAATATATTTTTATAATTATTTTCGAAAAAAAAAAATCAATATTTTTGCAGGTTGCCTTGGGTGCTCCCAGTGGCAGTGGCGAAGAGAGCAAAAGTTATCAACTTTTCGAAACGGTAGCCGAGAAATTGCAAAAATCCCTTTGGTCCGAGGAAATCTTAGGCAAATTTGAGGAGTATTTAAATGTTCTCAAAGAATGGTCGGAATCGGATGAGAAGCTCCAAACATCCTCAGTCTATGACAAATTCCGTGAACAACTTAAGAAATGCTCTGAAGAACTGCAAGATCTCAAAGCCCAACCCGATAATTGTGCCAAACAATTGGCATTGAAGGAGACGCATGAGAAGATACGCCACCTCTTCGATTCAGTCGATGATGAAAAATTGAGACGTGATTGGGTTAAGAAATATATGAATTTTGCCGTGCCAATGCGTTCGATTAGCAGAAATTCCAATGAACAATTCTATGCATTCCTCAAGGAAACTGTGGAGAACTATTTAAATGCCGTTGATACGTCGGCTCAGTCGGAAAATCTTGTCGAATGGCATAAGAAATTTGCCAAACAAACGGACTATGTTAAACAACAGAAAATGGTAATGGAATTTATGGCTCTATTCCCGGAGGAGAGAAAAATGTATGAGGCCAACAAATGTCAGGTGCAATATTCGACTGGATTGTAAAAATTTTGGAATTTGATGAGAGATTCAGATTGAAGTCACATATTCTCATGGATGTCGAACGCATGTCCGATTTTTGTGAAATTATTTAATTTCGAAATAATAAACTGAAGCATGAATTGCCATCATTGATTTTTAATAACGCTACTCTGTAGGACATTTCAATGGTAAATAGCTTCTGACTTCCTTTTGCCTGTATCACCTGAACTGCTGACCAAGTGTAGACAAGCAATCCTGTTTTTCCTATAGACATTTTCTATGAGCTTGTCCTTCGAAAGTCTCTAGGGACATTGTGAATAGTAGGTCAGTAGTTCTTACGGGGCCATATGGAGACATTGGAACCATTGCGCCTGTAGTCCATGAGGGATGATATGGAGGCATGGGAACAAGTTAGTCAGTGGTCTATGAGGGGTCATATGGAGATTTCCTTGTTTTTTTTTTTAATAAAGTATCGATCGTTTCTGCCGACAGATGCATAACCTCAGCTAATATTAGATTATTGAAATATATATTTGGAATTCTGTAATGATTGTGTTCATCCCTAGAAGAATGTTAAGAAAAGAGGAAGAGATAGAGTTATAGACTGTGATCTAGGGCTGAGGAGTTTGCCGTGTCGTCTTTAGCCACTTGAATCTTCTGGCTAATTGAAGGATTACTATAGGATCAGTGTTAGAAAAAAAAAACAGAGATCATGTTATACTAGTTCTCCCACCAGTCTGTGTCTCAGACTAATGAGTGCTTGGCAGTGGCAGAGCAAGTTTTCGACTGTCTCGATTTCTTCTTCTTCATCTTGTCAGATCCTACAGTAGTCAATGTCGTCGCTGTCCCATTTCGAGGTCATAGCCCTCACCTTACAATGATCTGTGATGATATCCACCACAAGTTTTAGATCAGGTTTCGACAATGACAGTAGCGACCTTGTTCTCTTCTCTGAGAGTGTGGGCCAGATTTTTATATATTCTTAATATTTTTAGAGCACCGTGGATATTCAAAATGTTGATCCTTTGTTGGAGAGGTACGAGTAGAAATGGTCCGATCTCTACCATCTTTATTACAGATCTTGGATTTATTAAATTTTTGAGATGTGCCAAGTCCGAATGGAATCATAATCAAAATTCCTACCCTTTGTGAGGCCTCCCTCCCGCTACCAGGGTGTTTTTTAATAATGAAAACGGAATCCAATCTCTCTCTTCGATTGTCAACTCTATTCCCTATTCGACTCGACTGGAGCAATATAAAGTGAAAAAGGACACAACCGCTTCGTTTGGGTGTAGATTCAATTCTAGTTTTTATTTTAAAAATATGTTCCTTAAGTACTACTGAAACTAATCTAACTTAACCTAATCGCAGCTACACAATTCTTATCTATTCTTATAATGATAGGAGATCATTGTAGGGCTGCTTGTTATTTCATTTAAGTGGTCTTGTACATCTACTGAGCGCATCAATATCTGTGCGGATGTGTCATAACCTTTACTATCTCACACATTATTGTACACAGAGGGAGTGGATCGATATATCCCATCTTCACATCAAATCTTATGTTAGTAGAAATAATGGGTATGTGAAATATGAAGAGAACCGGAAGCTTATTTTGGATTTTATAATAGTTTTGGTTATTCGAAACTTTGATCCTTTGTGGGGGAGGTACAAGAAAGAATGATCCGACCTCTACAATCTTTATAACAGATCTTGTGGAAACGGTCGTTAATTTTCTAACCCTATATGGAGGGGGAGTAGATTGATATATTCCATCTTCACACCAGACTTTGGGTCAATAAAAATAATATGATCTGTTTAATTTGGAGACAATCGGACACTTATATCAAATTTTATAAGAGTTATACCGATAATGTTAATTTTCACACCTGACCTAGCTCCGATGCAAATATTAGGATTTACAAAGTTGGAGCATCGGAATATTATTTCTCTTCCTGTGCAGTAAATTATTTTCTTTGAAAATGTTGACATTTTGTGTGAAGGTACCAGAAGGAGTGCACCGATATTGTCCATCTCCGAACTCGATATAAGTTTGATAATAATATTACGATGTACCGAGTTTTTATCAAATCGGATACTGCCTTTAAGAGTTATGGTGGGCACCAGACAGACAGACATATGGCTGAGGGTATAAAACAATTACTTTTCTTAAAATTTTCCACTTTTTTCTTAATTGAATATCCCTCGTTATGGTTAATAGGAGCGCCATTTATGTTACATTTTCCAATATTTTTTATTTATTTTTAATTTTTCCGGTTCATAATTTATTTCATACCTATGGAACCCTAATGTCATACAGTGTTGTATTTTGTAAATCCCTTTAAGTGGCAACACTGAAATGTTTATATGGGCCGACAGTTCACTCTTTAGTCTAGAAGCAAGTACATCAAATTTGCTGAAAATCGGTTCAAATATAGCTATAGCTCCCATATATATGTTTCATCCGATTTGGGATTTTATGTCCTTCACATGCGTAATATGCACTACGCAAAAATGATATTAAGTGCCAGATATCAGATACAGCTCAGGAATAAGTGGTTAAAATTTTGTCAAGATCGGTTCAGATTTAGATACAACTCCCATATATATAAATAAATTGTGCACCAATATATAGTCGCCCCGCCCGGCTTTTGAACTTTCCTTACTGTTTTTGTTTGGTTCGGTAGCGTTCATTCCCATGAAATTCTTAAGAAATGCCTTTATTCTTATTATCCCTAATTATTTATAATTAATATTGAGTTTTTAATTCAAAATTTCATTAAATAATTCAGTTTTTAATTTATTTTTTCACCATTTCTCATTAGCACAGCTAAAAAGGCGCTAAATGTGAATTTGAAGTACTCTGTGTCACCATGTGAATATCGATAACTCGTTGACATCGAAAGTAAGCGTGGGTCTACTTTCTGAGATGTGACACTCTTTAAGTAAATGAGCGGCAAATTAGCGCACTCACACATAGACCCAGCAGTCTGCTGGCCGTTACCCATCCAAATGTATGCTATTTTGTCAATAGGAAAAAATTAAATAACAGTGGTTAATAGCATACAACTAGAATCCGATTTAGATGAGTCGTATTGCTATTACATTGTGAAACGAAATCCATATTGGAATCAAAGAATAAAACAAAATATAATAAAATGTGTCCATCGCACTTGTATCTGAATCGGATGTCGATAGATTTCGAATCCATCCAGCCTTCGCTTACAATGTCGGTAGATTTCGAACCCATCCAACATTCACTTACATTGTCGATTGATTTCGGACACGTCCGACGGCCTAGGCCATCGCTGTTCAAATGTAAGTAGAAATTGTGTACAGGCTTTGGATGAGTCGCACCTACATTGTCAGTGATCTCAGATGGAACATGTATGTGCAAAAAACTCCGCTGGGAAATGAAGATATAGACAACGAAAAGCTCTCACCGTTTATCTTCGAAAAAAAATCGGATCAGCAGATGTCGTCTATATCGTTTCAGGAGTTTGAGTGGGAATTTTTAAGTCACTCAATTCAAAAATGTTAAAAATAATAAAAACTGTAGTATATTTGTCAGTTGAATATTGTTCCATAATAAAAGATAAGTGAAAATTATGTAGTGACATCGAAAAATACGTGAATATTCCTGTGAAATTCTTGAAAAACGATAAATTGTGTTTTCGAAGTCGATTGGGTTGAACGCTTAATCAGCATGTAGACTATGCAAAACATGATGAGAGCCACCTGGATAAAAAGACAAAACTAAATTTTCGTTGTCTATATCTTCATTCGTGCATTCACACGAAATAGCATTGACATTTTTAAAGATTTTAAAGTCGATGGTGTTTACATAAATTATTATGTCAGTCATATGGTCTGTTCCAGAACCTGCAAGAATCTACTAGTATTGCAATTTTTTTCGATATCATAAATGGAAAATCGGTTATTGTAGTAAAAACTTTACATTCTTGCAGTTCTGGAGCAGACCATATGACTGACATAATAATTTATGTAAACACCATCGACTTTAAAATCTTTAAAAATGTCAATGCTATTTCGTGTGAATGCACTTTATATTTAAGAAGCTATACAAACCCCTTGTTGTTTATTGACCTCTATTATCTCTCCTTTACAACACGAGTCGTACATTTCTCATAGATGACCTTTTCTGTGACCATTCTTTTGATTATTTCTTGTAATTATGGAATTTGTCAATGTCTTGAAAAATTAATTCAGGAATGAAAATGAGATGATAAGAATTTAATACAGCCTAACAAGGCATAAAAAGGGACACAGCAAATTGAATTGCAAAACAGTTGCCTATCGATCAGGAACAAATCAACAACAACAATTGCTTTACACCATAGATGAGCAAAACTGTTCAAAAACATACGTTAGCGGCATTATTCTCTTTTTCTCACTCTCTCTACGTCAAAGATTTGTTGATTGTGAATAGTTACACTCATACACTTTTTCTCGATTTATTTTGTTTGCACATCATTGCTTTACATACGCGAAACATGAAGAAATTTCTTATAGTAGCATTTATTATAAAGGTAAGTAGTGCTTTTTTTGAAGAACAGTTCCCAATGGCAGTTTACGTTAATATATATCCCCTTTCAGCTTGCTTTTGCTGATGCAGTTGCCGACATTGAACATACCCCTCGATATCAGTTGTACGAAAGTGTTATCGATAAATATCTAAACATAATTTGGTCGCCAGAAATCTACCAAAAAGCAGAGGAATATATAAACACACTAAAAAAATGGTCACAATCTGATGAACGTCTTCAAACGACACCAATCTACAATGAACTACAGGAAGAAATTGAAAAATGTCTGCAACTATTGGAGGCTTTAAAAAAAGGTCAAATCAACAGCTGTCAAAAACAAATTGCATTAACAAAAAGTCACTCTAATATTGGAGCACTATTGGTTTCAATCAAAGATGAAACGCTACGCAATGATTGTGTGGGAAAATTATTTGATTTTGCGAGACCATTGCGTTCGTTCAAAGCGCAGCGTAAAGAAGATTTTTACAAATTTTTATTGCAATCTATGGAAAAGTATTTAAATGAAAATGACTCAACGGTGGAGTCTGAAGATGTGGTCGAGTGGTACAGAAAGTTTTCTGAGCAACAGAACCTATTTCTTGTAGTTAAATTTATTTATCTATTTCCGAACGAGAGAGTCCATTATGTGGAGAAGAGGAAATGTCAAATTCAAATTGTAAATGGATTTTAATGATTATATTATAAATATGTACTTGTCATCATGGTAAAATAAAGAAGGATATGTCATTTTATATCAGAATTCCCAGCTCTGCATTCCCTGTAATTTACCTTGTCAAATTTAACTACAGAGAATATAGGTTCCCATCTCTGATTAGTGTATATACCATGGATTTATAAATACCTATTTTGCCAGATAAGAGATGTTGTCAAATTCTGGTACCTCCCCCACAACAAGGTTCAAAATTTTGAACTTGGCTCATCTCAATATTTTTATCAACACAAGATCTGTTATAAAGATGCTAGATGGTATTTCATGATTTTATTATATTTTTAATCTGATAATTTGTAACAACGAAGCCTTTTTAGGCCAAAAATAGTAATTCTCCCAAATAGAAAATATCTTTACAACTATAATAATACAACTATTTATTTTATACTACATTACATTACAATATTTTATTTTTTATTATATTTTATTGTCCATTTTTTAAAACAAATTTATATAAATGTCTCAAATGTAAATCAACTCGAGTGCTGTGAAATCAGTGTGTTTAAAGTACCCTTAATTATTTAGTATCTAAAGAAAAAACCGTTCCACACCTATTTCTGTTCACATTCATTCCTCTACCACTACGAAATTAAACAACCCATGTCTGCATTGACAATTTGTTTACCATTCAACTTTTATTTTTGTGGATAAACGAAGGGAAACCCCAAGCAACATAACTTATCTTTTTACCAAAGGTGCATTTAGTTTTGTTACAAAACAAATAACATTCTAGTTATTTAGTAATTAGTAACAAAATACAACAATAAAAAACCTATTGCAATTGAAGCAAGCCTGCATGAACAGTTGTGAGTGAGAGAGACTTGTGTCAATTATTCGAGAGAGAGTGAGAGGTGGTGTGGGTGTTTCCTAAAGTGCATTTGACAAAGACTAGACTGAGGCAGTAGGAAAAACAATTAAGGAAATTTCCAGGAATTTATGTTATAATCCCAATAAAACGCTAATTTGTTGGCAAACACAGAAAAACAACCGCACACAGGTAGGCATTGGTATATTTTCTCATAATTTTGGCTTATAAATAATTCACAAAACTTTCTCGATTTCAGTAGTCGTCTGCAAGAGTTCAGTTCTCTTTGTTCAATAGCCAGCAGATCAACAACGTACCTTTTCGCCCGCATTTTGTTGGAAATTTTATCAAGTGTTTTGGAAAATTGAAAAGGGAAACCATGACCATTGAAGTGGCCACCAGTGTTGCTGGGAAAAAAGAAATGTTAACCCGCACCCTTAAACAATCCGGTCACGTAGGTTTCGACAGCCTTCCCGATCAATTGGTCAATAAATCGGTACAAAATGGTTTTGTATTCAATGTCATGTGCATCGGTGAGACCGGTTTGGGAAAATCAACACTCATGGATTCCTTGTTTAATACCAGTTTCGAATCAACACCCAGTCCCCATACGCTACCCAATGTAAAGCTAAAGGCCAATACCTATGAATTGAAGGAAAGCAATGTCCAGTTGAAGTTGACCATTTGTGATACTGTTGGTTTTGGTGATCAAATCAATAAGGAGAACTCCTTTAAGGCTGTCGTCGATTATATTGATACCCAATTTGAGGCTTATCTGCAGGAAGAGCTGAAAATAAAACGTTCCTTGGTCGACTATCACGATAGTCGCATACATGCTTGTCTCTATTTCATTTGTCCCACGGGTCATGGTCTGAAATCTTTGGATTTGGTGTGTATGAAACAATTGGATAGCAAGGTGAACATAATACCGATCATAGCCAAGGCTGATACTATTTCCAAAACGGAACTGCAACGTTTTAAGGCAAAAATCCTGCAAGAACTGAAGGAGAACAATGTAAATATCTATCACTTTCCCGTGGATGATGAGACAGTGGCCGAGACAAATGCCCTGATGAATGATCACACACCCTTTGCCGTGGTGGGTAGTAGGGAATTTGTAAAAATCGGCAATAAATTGGTAAGGGCCCGCCAGTATCCCTGGGGCACCGTCCAAGTGGAAAATGAATTACATTGTGATTTCGTTAAGCTGCGTGAAATGTTAATACGCACCAACATGGAAGACTTGCGTGAACAGACCCATCAAACCCACTATGCATTGTATCGCCAGAAACGCCTCTCCGAAATGGGTTTCTGTGATGTGGACAATGACAATAAGCCGGTATCGTTCCAACAAATATTCGAAATTAAACGAGCCCATCACTTGAGTGAGCTGCAGGCCAAAGAGGATGAGGTACGGCAAATGTTTGTGCAGCGTGTCAAGGAAAAAGAGGCCGAATTGAAGGAAAGTGAACGTGAACTCCACTCACGTTTCGAAAAACTCAAAAAAGAACATGCCGAAGAAAAACGTAAATTGGAAGAAGCTCGTCAAAAACTCGACGAAGAATATTTGGAATTCACAACTCACAAAACCAACTATGTGGCCTCACATCATACCATGACCCTGGGCAAGAAGAGCAAAAAATAAAGTTCTGCAAATATATAAATGGAAAACAACAATGACAACATATTTTGCCATATTTTTTAAATAATTATCACAAGACTACGACTTTTACATAACATATGCATGTGTATTTTTGGTTGCAATTATTTTTAATTTTGTTTATTATTTAGTGTTTTTTTCTTTATTCTATTCTATTTCGTAATTAAGTACTAAGTATGCTAAAAAAGGCCAGTTTTAAACATTTGTTTAATAAACAATAAAATAGCAATAGCTACATATAAATATTTATGGTGTGTTTTGCAGAATTTGAAAGTATATCAGCTTTAAAAACTGGAAAGGAATTTTTCTTTATAAAACTATTAGCTTTGAATTTATATGAATTAAAAAATGAAGAAGATACTGTTCTTAAAACGAATATTTAGAATTTTTTGAAATGATTTTTAAACGGAACTTAAACTTTTAAAATCAGTTGAGGAAAAAATCTTAATTTTTGTTCTGTTCCAGAACCTGCAAGAATCTACTAGTTTTGCAATTTTTGTCGATATCGTAAAGGGAAAATCGGATATCGTTTATGTTTTTAAAGAATTTTCTTCAAAATAATAGCGTTAAAAATTAATCGTATTAAGATCCTTTCATTTAAAACATGAATCAGACTTTTAAATTGAATTTTCAAGTTGCCGGTATTTGAAGAATACTTTTTAACAAATATCGGGGGAGCAAAGAAAGATTGCTTCTCTACTTTGCGTTGCCGTCTTAAATATTCGTCTTTAAATGTTGCTTAAACCATAAAAGAGCTATTCTTTCAATAATTATCTTAGTTTCCTTTCATTGAAATTATATACGGGTGAGCCCTGACTTTGTGAGCGACTATAGGGACACCTAGTTCAACGTTTTGTTCGTTTTATTTAAAAGTTAAACTAATAATCGATTTATCGGCGCCAAATTACAATAGAAAAAAGTTAGAAGTAATTTGCAGAATGAGACGAAAAAAAATCAGTTTTCTTTCTTTGAAACTATATGTGGATGAGCCCTGGCTTTCTGAGCGGGATTAGTAGGGACACCTAGTTAATATTTTTGTTCGTTTTATTTACAAGTTAAACTAATAATCGATTTATCGGCGCCAAATCACAATAGAAAAAAAGTTAGGAGTAGTTCACAGGGTGAAATGAAAAAACTGCAACCAACTTCAGACTGCTGTCATTTCTAAGCCACTCGTCCGACAGCTGTTAAAATTATTCCAGTGACAGCTCATTATATTGTAGACAAGCGTACAAAAGCATTTTGGTGAGAATTTTCCAGGAAAAAAGTTATTCGTGATAGAATTCAAGCGTGATAATGTGATTCCCTTATATTTGGCTGGAAAACCACAAGTAATTATCATTAGAGCACTCCAGCATTGAAATGTGAATAAATTTTTTGTGTCTCGTACCATCGCTCGTTACCGTGATACTGGTAGCGTAGCCCCATGTCAAAGGAGTGGAAGGAGGAAAACAGCAACATCAGCAGAATTGATTCGAAAAGTAGTCGAAGTGACTTCATCGAACCCCGCAGTGACCGAAAAATGGCTCGTGAGCTCAACATATCGCATTATTCCATTCGGCAAATATTGAAAAATGAGCTCGAGGTAAAGCCATTGAAATTCCAAAATGTGCAAGAACTTACACCGCAATAGAAAGAAAATAGACTCAAAAGAGCTAAAGAGTTGCTTCGGTTGGACGAAAATGGTGAACTGCCGAATTTGGAATTTGGTTTTCTCCGATAAGAAAACATTCGTTGTCCAGCAGTTTGTAAACAAACAAAATGATGGTATGATCGACGCTTGCCAAAGAGGTCAGCTGAAAATGTCCACCAGACACTAGAACTCAAGCGCCGGGCATGGTGATGTTGTGAACCGCCATAACAGCCGATGGTGACTCTCCTCTCGTATTAATCGACTGTGACAGTAGAATAAATGCCGAATATTATCGCGAAAATGTTCTGGGCACGCAAACATTTTGGCCGCAGACCTTGGACATTCCAACAGGACTCAGCACGTGCCACCCAAGAATGGTTACAAAATGAGCTTTCTCGCTTCATATGCAGTGCACAATGGCCACCAAAAATCTCCGGATACCAATCACCTCAAGCAAGCGCTTCGACGGGAATGGGCCAAAATACTGTAGAGCAACATTCGGGCAGCGTGTAACGGTTTCATTGGCCGTTTGAAGGCCATAATTCGTGCCAAAGGTGACTAATTCTAACAAATCTAATCTTATTCTAAAATTTGATGTTCTTTCCGACATTTTTTGCCTTCATTCAATAAAATTTAAAATAAAATTTTAATTTCATTTTTGTTTTATTTTATCTCACCCTGTACTTGAAATTTGGTCTGTTCCAGAACTGCAAGAATGTAAAATTTTTACTACGATAACCGATTTTCCCTTTACGAAATCGGAAAATATTGCAAAACTAGTAGATTCTTGCACGTTCTGGGACTGAGCAATTGTTTTGTGTAAATTTGATGATCTAAATTGAGTAAAAGTACGTTTATATATATGAGGGTTAACCCACTGGATTTGGATTTAAATTGTCATATCCATTACTTTTACTTCAAATAAATCCTCTCAAAGTAGGTTAACCCTACAAAAAGTTCTAACGTAAACATGGCATAAATTAAATTAAAAATAAATCGAATATATCGATCTAAAAAAAAGATCAGGGTTTTCATACTCTCATCTATTAAGGGAGAAGAAGCGAGAATGCGTTATATCCATAAAAGAAGACAGAATGAAGGTATATTGCATTGTTTCATGTGAACCTTTATCGATAAACCACTGACCGTGTGGGCCGCTCTCTGTCTATCAGTGTCTGTCTTTCTTTAGATTTTATTTATTTTTATTCTTTAACTTCTAAACTTCTTTTCCCATCCATACACCCAAGAATTTCCCATAAAATAATTACCATTGTGGCACAAGCTCTTGTTACACATCACCGAAACTCTCCACGTGTGCTTGTCATCATTTGAACTTGAGTAACCTATTAACGATAAATCGATTAGTGCAAAGTCGACCTACACATCCCTAATTTCGTTGAATTAATGTCAAAAAGAATAAGTCAGCAGCAGCGACAGAAGAACAAACTTTTTTTTGAACTATTTCGTTTTCTTTTTGCATGTGTGCGGGTGTAAGTGAGTGTTGGCTTTGCGAAATAACCAATAATTCAAGTTCCCCTACCGATAGCTTTCCTATCAAGCTGTCAATTTCATAATCTACCGACATTGTAGCTTTCTTTTGGTCAAATATTTAAGTCCATTTTCTCTTTGATTTTCGTTTCATTCGTGTGTGCAGAAAAAAAAAAAATTGCAAGTGTGTGTTGGTACAAAGAAAAGAAGCAGCAACAGCAGCACAGCCGTCATCGACGACGACGACAACGAAGACAAAACGGGTGAAAAGCCAACGAAGAAGCGTGTATCCGCTACGACGGTCCTATTGTAGTTGTGGCATATACGTGGGACTTTCCCAAGTCTCACCAGCAACACTTTAGGGGGCCAAGTTCCTTATGTAGCCACCATAAGCCTTCATTTTTGTAGTTGGGTAGAATAACCAAACAGCGGTACTGATCACAAGCCAAGGCTGTGCGTAGGCCCTTGTGGCCGGAAAAAGCGTGAGTCGACGAAAAGCTCTTTTTGGCTTGGCTGGCTAACTTGGTCGAGAACCATTAACCAGGGAATTGAAGTTAGACGGATAGTAACTTGCCGTTGTTGTCGTTCTCTGTGTCAAGTTCATTTGAAGCAGTTTGACAGCATTATACTACCACCATCACAGTGACAAGGCAGCGTGGTTTCCCATATCTTTCTCCCCCTCTGAACGGCAAACAACACACACACAACTCCCCTCTTATCAACATGTCGGCAGACCCTAAATCGCAACAAACTCAGCCACCAATTTCCCAGCTATGGCCAGGATTTGGTGCCAACACATCGGATGTCAGCAACTTAAATAATACTTCAACGGTGGCAAAGGACGCCAATGGCATTGCTGGTAAAAATCAAGCGAACAACAACAGTAATAATAACAACAGGGATTACGTTAACTTCAATCAATTTATAATGCAACATAATCTTCTAGTTGGAGGAGGAGGAACAACAGCAGCAGGAGGAGGCCTTAGTAGTGATATTACTGGTCCAGGATTGGGCATTAGCCCCTCAACGTATTCAAATAATGCTGGTGGCCTATTTCCTAATCCCCTAATGGGTCAATATCAAGCTCAAGATCACCACGAATATCGATCAGCTATTGGCAACAAATTGCCACAACAACAACCACAATACAGTGTAAGTTGTTCTATTTTATTTTCTTAATTATTGTTTCGTAATATGTTTTTTGTTGTTGTTGTGATAGATATTGTTGACTCATGTTGGCATAGCATATGGGCTAAGGTTTGCGGTCTTAGGAATACAATGTTATGAGGGTGCATTGAAAAAGGGCTCAACAATATTGATACAGAATTAATGAGAACAATTTTAGGGGATTCTGAAACAAATTTATAAAATTCCTTGGCACCCAATATACCAGGATTGTATATAATTTTAGGAGAAAGGAGACTTTCTTAAACCATTTTACCAGAATGTATATTGGATTGAATGGATTTCTTTAACAATTTTCGAAGAATGCATGTTACTAAGTAAATGGTATCCAAATTCATGGCAAATCTAGGTATGCCCAACACTGGCTACTTGACCCAAAATGTTCAAAATTTTATACTTTTAATATTATCAGGTACTAAAAGGACTATAGAGGTTCATAACTCGGACATCCTGCCAAATTATATACTTGTACTGAAGACCTCTGGGTTCCTGTAGTAAAGTTTACAGATCGATTCACGAGAAGCTCTACTTAATCCAAATATTAAAAAATAACGCGAGAGGCTCCGATATATACTTTTAACAAATCCTCGATCACTTCTCTTGTTGAGGATATATTCTGAAGGTTTCTGGATTATTGCAAGGATGGGAGATCAAAAGTTCCAAATTCATAAAAAAGTAGGCATTCAAAATTTGTCTTAAAATACGCGAATATTGCTGAGACTTCAGGAGACTATCTGTGAAATTGTCGCACATATTATCATATCATTAATAAGATGTTATTAAAAATCTACGATTATTTCTAAAAAAAAAATCCGATATTGTCCTGAGATGCTAGTATTTTCAAAAAGGCCTCTAAAGGTCGATTAGCTTCCGAAATGTCTTCCAAAAATGGGAGATCTTTTGAAAAAGGGACTACTAAGTCTAAGTCCTTCCAGTAGAACCGACTAAAAAGGTATGAATTTACAAAATGTCATGCGATCCTTGCTGCTTTTAAGTCCATTTTTATACCCTCAGCCATATGGCTAGAGAAATAACGGTTTTTGACCATATGTCTCTTTGTATCAAATCCGTTTCAGGACACTGAGTCGATCTAGCGTCCGTCTGCCTGTCTGGCTGATGCTCACGATAACTCTCGAAGGGAGTATCCGATTTGATCCAAACTTGGTACATCGTAATATTTTTGTCAAACTAAGATCGAGTTCGGAGATGGGCAACACCGGTCCACTCCTTCTCGTACCTCCTATACAAAAGGGTCAACATTTTCAAAGAAAATAATTTACTGCACAGAAAGATAAATATTAATCCGATTTTGCCCCAACTTTGCAAATCCTAATTTTTTCGTCAGTGCCAGGAGAGGTGCGAAAATGGACAATATCGGTTCACTACATCCAGTACCTTTCCACCAAAGGGTCAAAATTTTGAATAATTGTAAATCATATAAAATGTGATGTAAGTGTCTGATTGTCTTCAAATTACTCACATCACAATATTTTTATTAACCCATGGTCTGGTATGAAGATGGAATATACCGCTCCACTCTTTCTGTTACCTCTCCCACAAAGGCTCCCAATTTTGAATATTCATGAAGCTCATAAAACACGAAATATACATTCGATTCCATTCCGACTTGGCACTTCTCAATATTTCCCTCACCTCAAGACCTATTGATAAGATGGTAGAGATCGGACCATTCCTTGTGGTACCTTCCCAAAAAAGGGTCAAAATTTTGAATAGCAAAAACGATCATAAAATCTGAAATAAGCATCCAGTTCTCTCCAAATTACACACATCACAATATTTTTATTAACCCAAAGTCTTGTGTGAAAATGGGATATATCGGTCCACTCCTTCTGGTACCTCCCCCGCAAAGGCTCAAAATTTTGAATATTCATGAAGCTCATAAAACTCTAAATTCACATTCAATTCCATTCAGCCGTGGCACATCTCAATATTTCCATCACCACAAGACCTGTTATGAAGATGGTAGAGATCGGACCATTCCTTGTGGTACTACCCCACAAAGGGTTAAAGTTTTGAATAACAAAACGCTCAAAGAAAGCGAAATAAGCATCCGACTCTCTTCAAATTACACAAATCACAATATTTTTATTGACCCAAAGTCTTGTATGAAAATGGGATATATAAGACCACTCCATCTGGTACCTCCCCCACAAAGGGTCAATGTTTTGAACAACGAAAAACGATCATAAAATCTGAAATAAGCATCCGGTTCTCTTCAAATTACACACATCATAATATTTTTATTAACGCATGGTCTACTGTGAAGATTGAATATGCCAGTCCACTCCTTATCGTATCTCCCCCACAAAGGGGCAGAATTTTGAATATCCATGAAGCTCATAAAACGCGAAATAGACATCCACTTCCATTCAGACTTGACACTTCTCAATATTTCCCCCACCTCAAGACCTGTTATGAAGATGTTAGAGATCGGACCATTCCTTGTGGTACCTCCCCCACAAAGGGTCAATGTTTTGAACAACGAAAAACAATCATAAAATCTGCAATAAGCATCCAGTTCTCTTCAAATTACACACATCACAACATTTTTATTAACCCATGGTCTGCTGTGAAGATTGAATATGCCGGTTCACTCCTTCTGGTACCTCCCCCATAAAAGGGCTGAATTTTGCATATTCACGAAGCTCATAAAATACGAAATATACATTCGGTTCCATTCAGACTTGGCACTCTTCAAGATTTCCATCACCACAAGACCTGTTATGAAGATGTTAGAGATCGGACCATTCCTTCTGGTACCTACCCCACAAAGGGTCAATGTTTTGAACAACAAAAAACGATCATGAAGATGGAATATATCGGTCCACTCCTTATGGTGTCAAACAAAAGGTTCAAAGAAAGCGTAAAAAGCATTAACCTCTCTTCAAATTTTACACTTCCAAATATTTTTGCTCACTCAGGGTCTGTTGTGAAAATGATACGGGCGTATACATCTGTCGGCAAAACCGACTGATATTATTTTACTTGTTTTTGTACCATTCAAAAAAATCTCTCCTCATTATATTTTGTTAATAACGTTTTCTTTCTGCTTTTCAGTATTTCAATCCCCAGAGCACACCTTTCATGTCTTTCAACAACTTCCAAATGGATGCGGGCCCCAAAAGCAACAACAACAACCTGATGATGGGTGACAATTTACAAAACTATAATGTACATCCTTTCAGTAGTAACTCCAGTTCCACAGGCGGTATGACTGCTAATAACTTGTATGACAACAAATCCGGTAGTAGCTATGGTTTAAATTTTAATGGTAGCAGTGGACTTGATACGGCGAACGGTGGTACAACATATTATGCCAATCCTTTTGCGACTGGTTTTGATTTTTCCAATACCAAGTTGCAGGCTACAGCACCTGAATTTGTGCCTCGTTTTGATAAGCTTTCGTTGAACGAAACTAATCAAACAAACTTAGAGACTAATGGTAATAATGTTGGTGGGGAAAAGCATGGGCGGCCAACAACGGCAGACTTAACACAAACTACTTCCAATGGCCGGGCAGGTGATCACAAAGAAACTGCTCCCTCAACGGCCGATACTAGTTTTGAAAAGGAAGAGAAGCGACATCAGCATCGACGCAATAATCGCCACAACAATACGAAACAAGATAAAGAGAACAATAGACGTAATCACAATCGCATTGAAAGAAATATGGAAAGATTTTCCAGAAATTTGCAGGAGAAAAATACGAACAATGATTCGGCATCAAATTCGAATTCTTCAACGCCTTCACTAATCATGAATGGTGGTGGTGGGGGTGGTGGGGGTGGTGGGGGCAATGGATCCAGCACATCGGCATCTGGAAATAATCATCAACAGCAAGTGGATGGTAATGGTGGTGGGGTACAAAAGAATACCGGAGCCTTTAGTAAATCATCACAAAATCAGCGCAACGGCGATAGGTTTAGAAATGGCAATTCAGAACAGCATCCTGAGATGCATGACAAAAATGACAAACACAATTATCAGGGACAAAACAAACGCTATCAAAACGGCCGAAGATCCCAAGAATATTCAGCCCCAGCCCCTGGGGAACGTGAAGAACGTTTCGATCGCTATGAACGCAATGATCGTAGCGAACGTGGTGGCCGCAATCAACGCAATGACCATCATCAACGTTACGACAATTATCGCAGCAACAAACGCCGTGACGATTGGAATCGCCATCGTGACCGTATCAATGGCTATCGTGTTGACGAAAAATACTCCCATGACAATGGCAAAGACAGCCCCTTGCCTAGTCCCGAAAAGAAATCCCCGAAAAAAGTGTTCCCCGAAAATGAAAAACTATCGCAAAGGGAAAAGTTGATACGCGACATAGAATGTCGTCGTTTGGAGTGCTTGGTTTGTGTCGAATCTATAAAGGCCCATCAGAGTGTGTGGTCCTGTCACAACTGCTATCACATTCTACATTTGCAGTGTATCATCAAGTGGGCCTCCTCGTCGAAATCAGATGATGGCTGGCGTTGTCCGGCCTGCCAGAATGTGGAAAAGGATGTGCCACGTGATTACTATTGTTTTTGTGGCAAGGTGAAAAATCCTCCTAACAATCGTCAGGATATTGCCCATTCATGTGGTGAGGTTTGCGGCCGAGTCGAAGGGTGTCCCCATGCCTGCACCCTACTATGTCATCCCGGCCCATGTCCACCGTGTCAGGCCCAGGTAAAACGGGAATGTGGCTGTGGTAAGACCTCCAAAACCATGCAGTGTTGCATTAAAGAGACCATTGAATGTGACTCCACCTGTGAGAAATTGCTTAACTGCGAATTGCATGTGTGCCAGGAGAAGTGTCACGAGGGCAAGTGTCCACCGTGCAAGGAGAAGGTCGATCAAAAATGTCACTGCAGTAAAAATGAACGTCAAGTCACATGTACCCGGGAGTCGCATCTCAAACATGTCTATTCATGCGGCAAACCTTGTGGCAAGGATTTGTCTTGTGGCAATCACAAATGCAATCAATGTTGCCATGGCGGCGAGTGTAAGCCATGCAAAATGAGTCCCGACCTTGTGACCTCTTGTCCCTGTGGCAAAATGCCCATTGTGGCCGAGCAACGCAAATCATGTCTAGATCCCATACCGCTATGCGAGGGTGTGTGTGGTAAAACCTTAAAATGTGGCAAGGCCACAAATCCCCATCACTGCACATTCAAGTGCCATGCCGGCAATTGTCCACCCTGTAACAAACAAACTGCTGTCAAATGTCGCTGTGGCCACATGGATCAAATGATCAAATGTCGCCAGCTTTCGACCCGGGCCGATGATGCTCGCTGCAAGAAACTCTGTACCAAAAAACGTTCCTGTGGCAAACACAAATGCAAGCAAGAATGCTGCATCGATATCGATCACTTCTGTCCACTGCCATGTAGATTTACGCTGTCGTGTGGCAAACACAAATGCGATCTGCCATGTCATCGTGGCAATTGTCCACCCTGTTATCGTTCCTCGTTCGAGGAGCTATTCTGTGAATGTGGTGCTGAAGTCATCTATCCACCGGTGCCATGTGGCACCAAAAAGCCGATATGCAAAAAACCCTGTTCCCGTCAACATCCATGCGATCATCCACCCCAACACAATTGTCATTCGGCTGCCACCTGTCCGCCCTGTATGATGTTCACCACCCAGTGGTGTTATGGGCAACATGAACAACGCAAGACCATACCATGTTCGCAGAAAAGTTTCTCCTGCGGTCTGGCGTGTAACAAACCGCTGCCATGCGGACGTCACAAATGCATAAAGACTTGTCACGAAGGACCCTGCCAAACGCCAGGGGAAATTTGTAAACAAAGTTGTACAACTGCCCGACCGAATTGTGGTCACAAATGTATGGCACCGTGTCATGATGGTGATTGCCCGGAGACGCCATGCAAGGAGATGGTAAGTGCAAGGGGAGGGAGGGAGGAAGTGATTGATTTTTTTTCAAGGACTATTATTTGAGCAAACGTGGATTTTTTAAAGAATATTTTTTCAAGGACCAAAAGACCAAGGAACGTGGATTTTTTAAAGAATATTTTTCAAGGACCAAAAAACAAGAAACGTTGATTTTTTTAAAGAACATTTTTTCAAGGATTAAAAGAAGAAGAAACCTAGTTTTTTTAAGAATATTTCTTCAAGGACCATTTGTTGAAGGAACGTGGATTTTTTAAAGAATATTTTTTCATCGACATTTAGACAAAGAAACGTGGGTTTTTTAAAGAATATTTTTATCAAGGATCCAAGAAACGTGGATTTTTTAAAGAATATTTTTATCAAGGATCCAAGAAACGTGGATTTTTTAAAGAATATTTTTTTTCAAGGATCCAAGAAACGTGGATTTTTTAAAGAATATTTTTTTCAAGGATCCAAGAAACGTGGATTTTTTAAAGAATATTTTTTCAAGGACCAAAAGACCAAGAAACGTGGATTTTTTAAAGAATATTTTATCAAGGATCCAAGAAACGTGGATTTTTTAAAGAATATTTTTTCAAGGATCCAAGAAACGTGGATTTTTTAAAGAATATTTTTTCAAGGATCCAAGAAACGTGGATTTTTAAAGAATATTTTTTCAAGGATCCAAGAAACGTGGATTTTTTAAAGAATATTTTTTCAAGGACCATCCGAACAACAAACGTTAATTTTTTAAAGAATATTTTTTCAAGGACCATCCGAACAAGAAACGTGGATTTTTTAAAGAATGTTTTTTCAAGGAACAAAAGACCAAGAAACGTGGATTTTTTAAAGAATGTTTTTTCAAGGAACAAAAGACCAAGAAACGTGGATTTTTTAAAGAATGTTTTTTTCAAGGAACAAAAGACCAAGAAACGTGGATTTTTTAAAGAATATTTTTTTAAGGACCAAAAGATCAAGATACGTGGGTTTTTTTACACAATAGTTTTTCAAGGACCATTAGTTGAAGAAACGTGGATTTTTTAAATATTTTTTCAAGGACCAAAAGACCAAGAAACGTGGGTTTTTTTACACAATAGTTTTTCAAGGGTCATTAGTTGAAGAAACATGGATTTTTTAAAGAATATGTTTTCAAGGACCATTAGTTGAACAAACGTGGATTTTTTAAAGAATATTTTTTCAAGGATCATCCGAACAAGAAACGTGGGTTTTTTAAAGAATATTTTTTCAAGGATCATCCGAACAAGAAACGTGGATTTTTTAAAGAATATTTTTTCAAGGATCATCCGAACAAGAAACGTGGATTTTTTAAAGAATATTTTTTCAAGGACCATTAGTTGAAGAAACGTGGATTTTTTAAAGAATATTTTTTCAAGGACCATTTGTTTGAAGAAACGTGGATTTTTTAAAGAATATTTTTTCAAGGACCATTTGTTTGAAGAAACGTGGATTTTTTAAAGAATATTTTGTCAAGGACCATTTGTTTGAAGAAACGTGGATTTTTTAAAGAATATTTTTTCAAGGACCACTAATTGAAGAAACGTGGATTTTTTAAAGAATATTTTTTCAAGGACCATTAGTTGAAGAAACGTAGATTTTTTAAAGAATATTTTTTCAAGGACCATTAGTTGAAGAAACGTTGATTTTTTAAAGAATATTTTTTCAAGTACCATTAGTTGATGAAACGTGGATTTTTTAAAGAATATTTTTACAAGGACCATTAGTTGAAGAAACGTGGATTTTTTAAAGAATATTTTTACAAGGACTATCCGAACAAGATACCTGGATTTTTTAAAGAATATTTTTTCAAGGACCAGTAGACCAAGAAACCTGGATTTTTTAAAGAATATTTTTCCAAGGAATATCCGAACAAGATACCTGGATTTTTTAAAGAATATTTTTTCAAGGACCAGTAGACCAAGAAACGTGGATTTTTTAAAGAATATTTTTCCAAGGAATATCCGAACAAGATACCTGGATTTTTTAAAGAATATTTTTTCAAGGACCATTAGTTGAAGAAACGTGGATTTTTTAAAGAATATTTTTTCAAGGACCATTAGTTAAAGAAACGTGGATTTTTTAAAGAATATTTTTTCAAGGACCATTAGTTGAAGAAACGTGGATTTTTTAAAGAATATTTTTCAAGGACCATTAGTTGAAGAAACGTGGATTTTTTAAAGAATATTTTTCAAGGACCATTAGTTGAAGAAACGTGGAATTTTTAAAGAATATTTTTTCAAGGACCAAAAGACCAAGAAACGTGGATTTTTTTAAAGAATATTTTTTCAAGGACCATTAGTTGAAGAAACGTGGATTTTTTTAAAGAATATTTTGTCAAGGACCATTTGTTTGAAGAAACGTGGATGTTTTAAATAATATTTTTTCAAGGACCATTAGTTGAACAAACGTGGATTTTGTAAAGAATATATTTTCAAGGACCATTAGTTGAAGAAACGTGGATTTTTTAAAGAATATTTTTTCAAGGATCCAAGAAACTTTTTCAAGGCCCATCAAAGCCCATAAACTTATATTTTTGAAAGAAAATGCCATTAAACCTCCTAATTCTCCTTTATTTTTCCTTTTTGCAGGTTGAAGTTCAATGCGAATGTGGCAATCGCAAACAGATGCGCACCTGTGCCGAATTGGTACGTGAATTCAGTCGCATTGCAACGGCTCAATTGGCCTCCTCGATGGCGGAAATGCAACGTGGCAACTATATGGAACTCTCGGAAATTCTGGCCCCCGTCAAACTTACCAATAAATCCAACAAGACACTCGATTGCAGTGATGACTGCCGAACTCTGGAACGTAATCGCCGTTTGGCTATTGGTTTACAAATTCGAAATCCTGATTTGCCACAAAAACTATTGACAAAGTACTCCGATTTTATACGCAACTTTGCCAAACGTGATCCGGCCCTGGTTAAGTCCATACATGAAGCGCTCACCACCCTGGTGAAATTGGCTAAGGAAAGTAAGCAGAAATCACGTTCACACTCGTTTCCCACAATGAATCGAGAGAAACGCCAGCTGGTCCATGAAATGTGTGAAATGTTTGGTGTGGAATCGGTGGCCTATGATGCTGAACCGAATCGTAATGTTGTGGCCACGGCGTTTAAGGATAGGGTAAGTTTGAAAATCGTATGAAATGAGATTGGTTTTTTATTTAAATTTGTTGGGTTTCTTTTAGTCTTGGCTCCCCGCCACCAGTATCATGGAGGTAATGGCTCGTGAATCTGGCCAAAGACGTGTGCCAGTGCCCAGCAACAATGCCTGGGGTTTGAAAAGATAATAATGCTAATATAACAAAACTACCAACGGTCAGCAAATCGTGTATTTTACAAAATTCTATTTATCTTATGTTATGATTGATTGATTGATTTTGAAATTACATACAACTAATCCCCCTTTTGCTTATATTGAATTTGTATTGTATTATTATTTTCTTTCCTTTTTTTAAGTTGTTAAAAGAAAAATTATGTTAATAAATTGAGTTTTGTGGTCAGCACTTGGGGTGTGGTAGATAAAATACTATTCCACCCACCCCCACTATTTAAAGTGTAGAAAAAAGTATTCGAGTGCTGGCTGTAAAACTTAATTTTCCTTTCACTTTATTGTATGGCAATTAAAATGTATAATGAAATTTACAAAGCAATTGTGCCCCCATTTATTTTTTAACTAATTTTGTTTACCTTTCCATTTTCAAAAGTTATAATTATTCCCTTATATCTGCTACTCAATATTATTTGATTTCCCCACACACAAATCGAACCAAAATCAAACCCATCTTTAACTTAAAGTTCAAGTGAAAAATATACAGAAGATATATAAAAAAACAATAAAACCCTGGCTCTTTGAAATTACAAAAATAATTTATAAACATAAATTTAACATAAAAAATAAACAAACACACATCCACACTTACAAGAAACCAACTTCTTCTACTACTATTACATAAAAGAAATAATAATAAAAAAACTATAAATTTGTTTAGTAATAAAGTTGTTTATCAATGAAATGTAAAAAGATTTTTTTTGAAGAAACCCATGTTTTTATTTTTTAAATAATCTACGTTTCTTGGTTTACAGGGTGAGTTAAAAAAGTATTTTTATAAAATCCACGTTTATTAAAGACTCTTGAAAAAATATTTTTATAAAATCCACTTTTTTTGAAGACCCTTGAAAAAATATTTTTATAAAATCCACGTTTACTGAAGACCCTTTAAAAAATATATTTATAAAATCCACGTTTATTGGAGACTCTTGAAAAAATATTTTTATAAAATCCACATCAATAGAAGACTCTTAAAAAAATATTTTTAAAAAGCCCACGTTTATTGAAGACCGTTGAAAAATATTTTTATAAAATCCACGTTTATTGAAGACCCTTGAAAAATATTTTTATTAAGTCCACGTTTATTGAAGACCCTTGAAAAAATATTTTTATAAAATCCACGTTTATTGAAGACCCTTGAAAAAATATTTTTATAAAATCCACGTTTATTGAAGACCCTTGAAAAAATATTTTTTTTTAAATCTACGTTCATTAAAGGCTCTTAAAAAAATATTCTATAATAAATCCACGTTGCTCGGCCCTTGAAAAAATATTATTTAAAAAATCCACGTTTCTTGGTCCTTGAAAAAATATTCTTTAAAAAATCAACGTTTCCTGGTCCTTGAGAAACTATTCTTTAAAAAAATCCACGTTTGAGAAAATCCTTGATTTTTTAAATCTACGTTTATTGAGAATCTACGGAAATATATTCCTGAAGTTAAAAGGGGGTACTTTGAAATGTACTTTTAAAATTTAAAAACTTTTATTGAATATCGCTGTAAAAGTAATCAGTTGTTTTGGAGCTATTCCTCATCGTCCTGGTTAAGGTCCGTAAAATACACATTGAGCACCCCACGTATAATTTGCTCATAACTTGTGCGGAAAACAGTTAACCGACAATTGACATGTCCGGCTTTCGTTTCACGTTCGTATTCATTTAGGAATATTTCAAGAATATCATGGAATGCAGCAAGCTTGTCTTTGTCCGTAGTTTTGGTTTGCAGAACATTAAACCAATTGATAAGATCTTGATTTTCTTCCCGGCCAACTGCATCCAGGCTGGCGATGAAATTTTCCACTTGCCGAACCGCAGAGGGCAAATCATTATTCAAAAAGTTATTTTTAATTTCTTCAAATTTGGCATCCTGCGATGTCTCTGTATGCCTCAGAAAGATTTCATTGACTTCCTGTCGTCGCAAGACATTACGGATATGTGCAATGTCGAATAGTAGCGTATATGCCTGGTGACGTAGCGTGCAATTTGTGGGATTATTTTCAAAGCTTTCCGCAGTTGTAACATAAGCTTGTAGTTTTTCTTTCATTTCCTCATAGACTGGCAATTTTTTAGGTGACAATTTTGGTTTCTTATCCTCCAACCAGGCAGAATAGTCTTTCAGCACTTTGGCATAGATAGAAGATTTGGCCATGTTTTCCGAGGCGATAATATTATTCGCCATCAACAGAAGAGAGTCGAACAATTGAAAACGTTTGTCATGGGTGGGGGTTTCAGGGGCCGATACTACATCGGTACTGGAAGTCTCTACTGGAGCAGCCCATGAAATCTAGGAAAAAGGAGGTTAAATATATGATAATCGATTTATTTTTTTCAAACTTACCTGTGCTGCCACCAGCAGAGTTAGGCAAATGCTGAGAAGAAATTTCATAGTTAACATTCAACTGTTTCAACGTCGGTTTCCCAAAGCGATCTAATCGGAATCTGTTGTAAAACGCATTTAAATATTATTAATTTTTTTTCTTATCTGCTTGGATTTGGGGTCATCACCTCATTGCAATATTATTCATTTCCCATTTGCCAGGAATTCTTGCCGGAAAAAATAGTTTTATTCTGGGTTTTCGAAAAACCGATTATTCTATTTTCAATATATAAAAATTATTAAGAGGATGATGGTCCTTGAAAAAATATTCTTTAAAATATCCAACTGATGGCCCTGAAAAAATATTCTTTAAAAAATCTATGATTCTTCAACTGATGGTCCTTGAAAAAATATTCTTTAAAAAAATCCACGATTCTTCAACTGATGGCCCTGAAAAAATATTCTTTAAAAAATCCACGATTCTTCAACTGATGGCCCTGAAAAAATATTCTTTAAAAAATCCACGATTCTTCAACTGATGGTCCTTGAAAAAATATTCTTAAAAAAATCCACATTTCTTGTTCGGATAGCCCTTGAAAAAATATTCTTTAAAAAATCCACGTTTCATTAACTGATGGTCCTTGAAAAAATATTCTTTAAAAAATCCACGTTTCATTAATTGATGGTCCTTGACAAAATATTCTTTAAAAAATCCACGTTTCTTGGTCTAGTGGTCCTTGAAAAATATTCTTTAAAAAATACACGTTTCATTAACTGATGGTCCTTGAAAAAATATTCTTTAAAAATCCACGTATCTTGGTCCTTGAAAAAATATTCTATAAAAAATCCAAGTTTCTTGGATCCTTGAAAAAATATTCTTTAAAAAATCCAAGTTTCTTGGATCTTTGAAAAAATATTCTGTGAAAAATACACGTTTCGTGGTCCTAGAAAAAATAATCTTTAAAAATCCTTGTTTCTTGGTCTTTTGTTCCTTGAAAAAATATTCTATGAAAAATCCAAGTTTCTTGGTCATGTTTATTCAAGTTTCAAATATTTTTCTTATTTGTTTTACTAAATTTCAAATCGCTGCAAGTTTTTGCGAGAAATCTTCAATTTTTCCCCCATTCCATTTACAGTCCACCTTATTCTCACTGCGAACCCGCATAGTTCGGCTGTGTATCAGATCATAGATAAGCCTTTCGAATGACTCATTCTTTTTCTTCGAATTGGGGGCGATTAAGAACTCACTACAATATTTTAGAAAATCTTTATACTCCTCCCTCTCGGGTTGATTTAAATCTCGGCGAAAGCGTTCAATAACCGTGGGCAGTTTTTGATAAATACCATTCAGGAATATTGGAAATTCTTGTTGAATTTTGGCATTGGCTTGATTGTAACGCTGACGGAAGGCATTAAAGATCTGTGAGTTATTCGGATTTTCATTTAATAATTGCAAATATTTGGGTAATTCTTCCAATTCTCGGCCAGCTTCGGCTTGCAGTTCACAATTTTCACCGTTTGTTTTCAGTTTCTCTGTGGCCTTGATGTAACGTTCAATTTGTTCTCTGATCCTTTGGAGAGATCTGGCTGCTGTCGTTTTTTCACTGCGATTTTGAAGTTCATCGAATTGTTTCAACATTTCCGAATATGTTGAAGCTTCCAATATCAATTGTTTGACATTCCATTCATTGATTTGGGTTGTGAGGAATTCAAAGACCTCCGAACGCTTATCGGGTCTTGGAGGTAGCCCAGACGCCTTGGTGGCCAATGTTCCCGGTCCATAAAAGAGAAGCTGAAAATTTTGAAAATTAATTTATATATTTTGTTAAATATTTGCTTGTCCTAACCTGTAGCAGAATAGCCAAACTTGTCAATTGAAGTCCATTCATTCCGAGCGGTTGTGTGTAGGCAAGTTGTTGATTTTAATCTGTTGAGACTTGAATATTTGGTTTCAATTTCTTAATGGATTTCGGTTTTCTTATCTCTAAAATGTCGTAGCTTTTGTTTATTAATTTACAGCAAAGAATAGGGTGGATTAGGTTTCGATGCAGTGGCTTTTTAATAAAAAAATATTAAAGCCCGAGGACCATTAAAATGGATTTTTCAAAAAACAAGGACCTAGAAATGTGAATTTTTTAATTTCATTTTATCAAGAATCATCAGTTGAGGAAACGTAGATATTTTATCAATGCCCATCAGTTGAAGAAACGTGGATTTTTTAAAGAATATTTTTTAAAGGACCATCAGTTGAAGAAACATGGATTTTTTAAAGAATCTTTTTTTTAAAGACCAATAGTTGAAGAAACGTGGATTTTTATACCCTCCACCAAAAAAGGTATGGAGGGTATATTAACTTTGTCATTCCGTTTGTAACTCATCGAAATAATCATTTTAGACCCAACAAAGTATATATATTCTTGATCAGCGTAAAATTCTAAGACGATTTAGCCCTGTCCGTCCGTCTGTCCGTCTGTTGTAATCACGCTATAGTCTAAACGAATTAAGATAGGAAGCTAAAATTTTGCACAGATCTCTCTTTTGTCTGCAGGCAGGTCAAGTTCGAAGATGGGCTATATCGGTCCACGATATCGTATAGCCCCCATATAACGGTACCCCCCGATATTCGGTATTTTGATGATTTTACCCACATTTTTCAACGGAATTGTCTGAAAATCCACACAAGGAGTTCCTTGTGGGTACTTTTTACCTCGGCAGAGAATTATCCATATAGGTCCACGATATCGTATAGCCCCCATATAACGGTACCCCCCGATATTCGGTATTTTGATGATTTTACCCACATTTTTCAACGGAATTGTCTGAAAATCCACACAAGGAGTTCCTTGTGGGTACTTTTTACCTCGGCAGAGAATTATCCATATAGGTCCACGATATCGTATAGCCCCCATGTAATGGTACCCCCCGATATTCGGTATTTTGATGATTTTACCCACATTTTTCAACGGAATTGTCTGAAAATCCACACAAGGAGTTCCTTGTGGATACTTTATACCTCGGCAGAGAATTATCTATATAGGTCCACAATATCGTATAGCCCCCATATAACGGTACCCCCCGATATTCGGTATTTTGATGATTTTACCCACATTTTTGAACGGAATTGTCTGAAAATCCACACAAGGAGTTCCTTGTGGGTACTTTATACCTCGGCAGAGAATTATCTATATAGGTCCACAATATCGTATAGCCCCCATATAACGGTACCCCCCGATATTCGGTATTTTGATGATTTTACCCACATTTTTCAACGGAATTGTCTGAAAATCCACACAAGGAGTTCCTTGTGGGTACTTTTTACCTCGGCAGAGAATTGTCCATATAGGTCCACGATATCGTATAGCCCCCATGTAATGGTACCCCCCGATATTCGGTATTTTGATGATTTTACCCACATTTTTCAACGGAATTGTCTGAAAATCCACACAAGGAGTTCCTTGTGGGTACTTTTTACCTCGGCAGAGAATTATCCATATAGGTCCACGATATCGTATAGCCCCCATGTAATGGTACCCCCCGATATTCGGTATTTTGATGATTTTACCCACATTTTTCAACGGAATTGTCTGAAAATCCACACAAGGAGTTCCTTGTGGATACTTTATACCTCGGCAGAGAATTATCTATATAGGTCCACAATATCGTATAGCCCCCATATAACGGTACCCCCCGATATTCGGTATTTTGATGATTTTACCCACATTTTTGAACGGAATTGTCTGAAAATCCACACAAGGAGTTCCTTGTGGGTACTTTATACCTCGGCAGAGAATTATCTATATAGGTCCACAATATCGTATAGCCCCCATATAACGGTACCCCCCGATATTCGGTATTTTGATGATTTTACCCACATTTTTCAACGGAATTGTCTGAAAATCCACACAAGGAGTTCCTTGTGGGTACTTTTTACCTCGGCAGAGAATTGTCCATATAGGTCCACGATATCGTATAGCCCCCATGTAATGGTACCCCCCGATATTCGGTATTTTGATGATTTTACCCACATTTTTCAACGGAATTGTCTGAAAATCCACACAAGGAGTTCCTTGTGGGTACCTTATACCTCGGCAGAGAATTGTCCATATAGCTCCATGATATCGTATAGCCCCCATGTAACGGTACCCCCCGATATTCGGTATTTTGATGATTTTACCCACATTTTTCAACGGAATTGTCTGAAAATCCACACAAGGAGTTCCTTGTGGGTACTTTATACCTCGGCAGAGAATTATCTATATAGGTCCACAATATCGTATAGCCCCCATATAACGGTACCCCCCGATATTCGGTATTTTGATGATTTTACCCACATTTTTCAACGGAATTGTCTGAAAATCCACACAAGGAGTTCCTTGTGGGTACTTAATACCTCGGCAGAGAATTCTCCATATAGGTCCACGATATCGTATAGCCCCCATGTAATGGTACCCCCCGATATTCGGTATTTTGATGATTTTACCCACATTTTTCAACGGAATTGTCTGAAAATCCACACAAGGAGTTCCTTGTGGGTACCTTATACCTCGGCAGAGAATTGTCCATATAGGTCCATGATATCGTATAGCCCCCATGTAACGGTACCCCCCGATATTCGGTATTTTGATGATTTTACCCACATTTTTCAACGGAATTGTCTGAAAATCCACACAAGGAGTTCCTTGTGGGTACTTTATACCTCGGCAGAGAATTATCTATATAGGTCCACAATATCGTATAGCCCCCATATAACGGTACCCCCCGATATTCGGTATTTTGATGATTTTACCCACATTTTTCAACGGAATTGTCTGAAAATCCACACAAGGAGTTCCTTGTGGGTACCTTATACCTCGGCAGAGAATTGTCCATATAGGTCCATGATATCGTATAGCCCCCATGTAACGGTACCCCCCGATATTCGGTATTTTGATGATTTTACCCACATTTTTCAACGGAATTGTCTGAAAATCCACACAAGGAGTTCCTTGTGGGTACTTTATACCTCGGCAGAGAATTATCTATATAGGTCCACAATATCGTATAGCCCCCATATAACGGTACTCCCCGATATTCGGTATTTTGATGATTTTACCCACATTTTTCAACGGAATTGTCTGAAAATCCACACAAGGAGTTCCTTGTGGGTACTTTTTACCTCGGCAGAGAATTGTCCATATATGTCCACAATATCGTATAGCCCCCATGTAACGGTACCCCCTGATATTCGGTATTTTGATGATTTTACCCACATTTTTCAACGGAATTGTCAGAAAATCCACACAAGGAGTTCCTTGTGGGTACTTTATACCTCGGCAGAGAATTATCTATATAGATCCACGATATTGTATAGCCCTCATATAACGGTACCCCCGATATTCGGTATTTTGATGTTTTTAGCCATATTTTTCAACGGAATGGTCACAAGGGGTTCTTTGTACACAAGGGGTTCTTTGTGAGCACTTTACCCACCGACAGAGAATTCTCTATATAGGTTAACGATAACGTATAGCTCCCATATAACGGTACCCCGCGATATTCGGTATTTTGATGATTTTAGCCACATTTTCACATCGTATTGTCTGAAAATCCACACAAGGAGTTCCTTGTGAGTACTTTACACGCAGACATAGATTTGTCTTTATAGGTCCACAATATCGTATATCCCCCCATATATCGGTACCTTCCTATATTAAATATTTTAAAGAAATTTATTGGATTTTATTTTTTTGAAAATTTTCTAATTCGTTCCAAATGGTGGAGGGTATTCAAAGTTCGGCCCGGCCGAACTTACTGCTTTTTTACTTGTTTAAAGAATATTTTTTCAAGGACCATCAGTTGAAGAATCGTGGATTTTTTAAAGAATATTTTTTCAAGGACCATCAGTTGAAGAATCGTCGATTTTTTAAAGAATATTTTTTAAAGGACCATCAGTTGAAGAAACGTGGATTTTTTAAAGAATATTTTTTAAAGGACCATCAGTTGAAGAAACGTGGATTTTTTAAAGAATATTTTTTAAGGGACCATCAGTTGAAGAAACGTGGATTTTTTAAAGAATATTTGTTCAAGGACCATCAGTTGAAGAATCGTGGATTTTTTAAAGAATATTTTTTAAAGGACCATCAGTTGAAGAAACGTGGATTTTTTAAAGAATATTTTTTAAAGGACCATCAGTTGAAGAAACGTGGATTTTTTAAAGAATATTTTTTAAAGGACCATCAGTTGAAGAAACGTGGATTTTTTAAAGAATATTTTTTAAAGGACCATCAGTTGAAGAAACGTGGATTTTTTAAAGAATATTTTTTAAAGGACCATCAGTTGAAGAAACGTGGATTTTTTAAAGAATATTTTTTAAGGGACCATCAGTTGAAGAAACGTGGATTTTTTAAAGAATATTTTTTAAGGGACCATCAGTTGAAGAAACGTGGATTTTTTAAAGAATATTTGTTCAAGGACCATCAGTTGAAGAATCGTGGATTTTTTAAAGAATATTTTTTCAAGGACCATCAGTTGAAGAATCGTCGATTTTTTAAAGAATATTTTCTCAAGAACACTTAGACTAAAAAACGTAAATTTTTTTGAAGAATATTTTCTCAAGGACCATCCGTTGAAGAAACGTGGAATTTTTAAAGAATATTTTTTTAAGAACCATCAGTTAAAGAATATTTTTTCAAGGACCATCAGTTGAAGAATCGTGGATTTTTTGAAGAATATTTTTTCAAGGACCATCAGTTGAAGAATCGTGGATTTTTTAAAGAATATTTTTTCAAGGACCATCTGTTGAAGAATCGTGGATTTTTTAAAGAATATTTTCTCAAGAACCCTTAGACTAAAAAACGTAAATTTTTTTGAAGAATATTTTCTCAAGGACCATCAGTTGAAGAATCGTGGATTTTTTAAAGAATATTTTTTTAAGGACCATCAGTTGAAGAATATTTTTTCAAGGACCATCAGTTGAAGAATCGTGGATTTTTTAAAGAATATTTTTTCAAGGACCATTAGTTGAAGAATCGTGGATTTTTTAAAGAATATTTTCTCAAGAACCCTTAGACTAAAAAACGTAAATTTTTTTGAAGAATATTTTCTCAAGGACCATCAGTTGAAGAATCGTGGATTTTTTGAAGAATATTTTTTCAAGGACCATCAGTTGAAGAATCGTGGATTTTTTACAGAATTTTTTTTCAAGGACCATCAGTTGAAGAATCGAGGATTTTTTAAAGAATATTTTTTCAAGGACCATCGGTTGAAGAATCGTGGATTTTTTGAAGAATATTTTTTCAAGGACCATCAGTTGAAGAATCGTGGATTTTTTAGAGAATATTTTTTCAAGGACCATCAGTTGAAGAAACATGGATTTTTTAAAGAATATTTTTTTTAAAGACCAATAGTTGAAGAAACGTGGATTTTTTAAAGAATATTTTTTCAAGGACCATCAGTTGAAGAATCGTGGATTTTTTAAAGAATATTTTTTCAAGGACCATCAGTTGAAGAATCGTGGATTTTTTAGAGAATATTTTCTCAAGAACCCTTAGACTAAAAAACGTAAATTTTTTTGAAGAATATTTTCTCAAGGACCGTCAGTTGAAGAATCGTGGATTTTTTAAAGAATATTTTTTTAAGGACCATCAGTTGAAGAATATTTTTTCAAGGACCATCAGTTGAAGAATCGTAGATTTTTTAAAGAATTTTTTTTCAAGGACCATCAGTTGAAGAATCGAGGATTTTTTAAAGAATATTTTTTCAAGGACCATCAGTTGAAGCATCGTGGATTTTTTAAAGAATATTTGTTCAAGGACCAACAGTTGAAGAATCGTGGATTTTTTAAAGAATATTTTTTCAAGTACCATCGGTTGAAGAATCGTGGATTTTTTAAAGAATATTTTTTCAAGGACCATCGGTTGAAGAATCGTGGATTTTTTAAAGAATATTTTTTCAAGGACCATCAGTTGAAGAATCGTGGATTTTTTAAAGAATATTTTTTTTAAGTACCATCGGTTGAAGAAACGTGGATTTTTTAAAGAATATTTTTTAAAGGACCATCAGTTGAAGAAACGTGGATTTTTTAAAGAATATTTTTTAAAGGACCATCAGTTGAAGAAACGTGGATTTTTTAAAGAATATTTTTTAAAGGACCATCAGTTGAAGAAACGTGGATTTTTTAAAGAATATTTTTTAAAGGACCATCAGTTGAAGAAACGTGGATTTTTTAAAGAATATTTTTTAAAGGACCATCAGTTGAAGAAACGTGGATTTTTTAAAGAATATTTTTTAAAGGACCATCAGTTGAAGAAACGTGGATTTTTTAAAGAATATTTTTTAAAGGACCATCAGTTGAAGAAACGTGGATTTTTTAAAGAATATTTTTTAAAGGACCATCAGTTGAAGAAACGTGGATTTTTTAAAGAATATTTTTTAAAGGACCATCAGTTGAAGAAACGTGGATTTTTTAAAGAATATTTTTTAAAGGACCATCAGTTGAAGAAACGTGGATTTTTTAAAGAATATTTTTTAAGGGACCATCAGTTGAAGAAACGTGGATTTTTTAAAGAATATTTGTTCAAGGACCATCAGTTGAAGAATCGTGGATTTTTTAAAGAATATTTTTTCAAGTACCATCGGTTGAAGAATCGTGGATTTTTTAAAGAATATTTTTTAAAGGACCATCAGTTGAAGAAACGTGGATTTTTTAAAGAATATTTTTTAAAGGACCATCAGTTGAAGAAACGTGGATTTTTTAAAGAATATTTTTTAAAGGACCATCAGTTGAAGAAACGTGGATTTTTTAAAGAATATTTTTTAAGGGACCATCAGTTGAAGAAACGTGGATTTTTTAAAGAATATTTGTTCAAGGACCATCAGTTGAAGAATCGTGGATTTTTTAAAGAATATTTTTTCAAGTACCATCGGTTGAAGAATCGTGGATTTTTTAAAGAATATTTTTTAAAGGACCATCAGTTGAAGAAACGTGGATTTTTTAAAGAATATTTTTTAAAGGACCATCAGTTGAAGAAACGTGGATTTTTTAAAGAATATTTTTTAAGGGACCATCAGTTGAAGAAACGTGGATTTTTTAAAGAATATTTGTTCAAGGACCATCAGTTGAAGAATCGTGGATTTTTTAAAGAATATTTTTTAAAGGACCATCAGTTGAAGAAACGTGGATTTTTTAAAGAATATTTTTTAAAGGACCATCAGTTGAAGAAACGTGGATTTTTTAAAGAATATTTTTTAAAGGACCATCAGTTGAAGAAACGTGGATTTTTTAAAGAATATTTTTTAAAGGACCATCAGTTGAAGAAACGTGGATTTTTTAAAGAATATTTTTTAAAGGACCATCAGTTGAAGAAACGTGGATTTTTTAAAGAATATTTTTTAAGGGACCATCAGTTGAAGAAACGTGGATTTTTTAAAGAATATTTTTTAAGGGACCATCAGTTGAAGAAACGTGGATTTTTTAAAGAATATTTGTTCAAGGACCATCAGTTGAAGAATCGTGGATTTTTTAAAGAATATTTTTTAAAGGACCATCAGTTGAAGAAACGTGGATTTTTTAAAGAATATTTTTTAAAGGACCATCAGTTGAAGAAACGTGGATTTTTTAAAGAATATTTTTTAAAGGACCATCAGTTGAAGAAACGTGGATTTTTTAAAGAATATTTTTTAAAGGACCATCAGTTGAAGAAACGTGGATTTTTTAAAGAATATTTTTTAAAGGACCATCAGTTGAAGAAACGTGGATTTTTTAAAGAATATTTTTTAAAGGACCATCAGTTGAAGAAACGTGGATTTTTTAAAGAATATTTTTTAAAGGACCATCAGTTGAAGAAACGTGGATTTTTTAAAGAATATTTTTTAAAGGACCATCAGTTGAAGAAACGTGGATTTTTTAAAGAATATTTTTTAAAGGACCATCAGTTGAAGAAACGTGGATTTTTTAAAGAATATTTTTTAAAGGACCATCAGTTGAAGAAACGTGGATTTTTTAAAGAATATTTTTTAAAGGACCATCAGTTGAAGAAACGTGGATTTTTTAAAGAATATTTTTTAAAGGACCATCAGTTGAAGAAACGTGGATTTTTTAAAGAATATTTTTTAAAGGACCATCAGTTGAAGAAACGTGGATTTTTTAAAGAATATTTTTTAAAGGACCATCAGTTGAAGAAACGTGGATTTTTTAAAGAATATTTTTTAAAGGACCATCAGTTGAAGAAACGTGGATTTTTTAAAGAATATTTTTTAAAGGACCATCAGTTGAAGAAACGTGGATTTTTTAAAGAATATTTTTTAAAGGACCATCAGTTGAAGAAACGTGGATTTTTTAAAGAATATTTTTTAAAGGACCATCAGTTGAAGAAACGTGGATTTTTTAAAGAATATTTTTTAAAGGACCATCAGTTGAAGAAACGTGGATTTTTTAAAGAATATTTTTTAAAGGACCATCAGTTGAAGAAACGTGGATTTTTTAAAGAATATTTTTTAAAGGACCATCAGTTGAAGAAACGTGGATTTTTTAAAGAATATTTTTTAAAGGACCATCAGTTGAAGAAACGTGGATTTTTTAAAGAATATTTTTTAAAGGACCATCAGTTGAAGAAACGTGGATTTTTTAAAGAATATTTTTTAAAGGACCATCAGTTGAAGAAACGTGGATTTTTTAAAGAATATTTTTTAAAGGACCATCAGTTGAAGAAACGTGGATTTTTTAAAGAATATTTTTTAAAGGACCATCAGTTGAAGAAACGTGGATTTTTTAAAGAATATTTTTTAAAGGACCATCAGTTGAAGAAACGTGGATTTTTTAAAGAATATTTTTTAAAGGACCATCAGTTGAAGAAACGTGGATTTTTTAAAGAATATTTTTTAAAGGACCATCAGTTGAAGAAACGTGGATTTTTTAAAGAATATTTTTTAAAGGACCATCAGTTGAAGAAACGTGGATTTTTTAAAGAATATTTTTTAAAGGACCATCAGTTGAAGAAACGTGGATTTTTTAAAGAATATTTTTAAAGGACCATCAGTTGAAGAAACGTGGATTTTTTAAAGAATATTTTTTAAAGGACCATCAGTTGAAGAAACGTGGATTTTTTAAAGAATATTTTTTAAGGGACCATCAGTTGAAGAAACGTGGATTTTTTAAAGAATATTTGTTCAAGGACCATCAGTTGAAGAAACGTGGATTTTTTAAAGAATATTTTTTCAAGTACCATCGGTTGAAGAATCGTGGATTTTTTAAAGAATATTTTTTCAAGGACCATCGGTTGAAGAATCGTGGATTTATAAAATAATATTTTTTCAGGGCCATCAGTTGAAGAATCGTGGATTTTTTAAAACATATTTTTTCAGGGCCATCAGTTGAAGAATCGTGGATTTTTTAAAGAATATTTTTTCAGGGCCATCAGTTGAAGAATCGTGGATTTTTTAAAGAATATTTTTTCAGGGCCATCAGTTGAAGAATCGTGGATTTTTTAAAGAATATTTTTTCAGGGCCATCAGTTGAAGAATCGTGGATTTATAAAAGAATATTTTTTCAGGGCCATCAGTTGAAGAATCGTGGATTTTTTAAAGAATATTTTTTCAGGGCCATCAGTTGAAGAATCGTGGATTTTTTAAAGAATATTTTTTCAGGGCCATCAGTTGAAGAATCGTGGATTTTTTAAAGAATATTTTTTCAAGGACCATCGTGGATTTTCCTCTTAATAATTTTTATATATTGAAAATAGAATAATCGGTTTTTCGAAAACCCAGAATCAAACTATTTTTTCCGGCAAGAATTCCTGGCAAATGAGAAATGTTGCAATATTGCAATGAGGTGATGACCCCAAATCCAAGCAGATAAGAAAAAAAATTAATAATATTTAAATGCGTTTTTACAACAGATTCCGATTAGATCGCTTTGGGAAACCGACGTTGAAACAGTTGAATGTTCAAAATGAAATTTCTTCTCAGCATTTACCTAACTCTGCTGATGGCAGCACAGGTAAGTTTGAAAAAAAAATCAAATTGATTATCATATATTTAACCTCCTTTTTCCTAGATTTCATGGGCTGCTCCAGTAGAGACTTCCAGTACCGATGTAGTATCGGCCCCTGAAACCCCCACCCATGACAAACGTTATCAATTGTTCGACTCTCTTCTGTTGATGGCGAATAATATTATCGCCTCGGAAAACATGGCCAAATCTTCTATATATGCCAAAGTGCTAAAAGACTATTCTGCCTGGTTGGAGGATAAGAAACCAAAATTGTCACCTAAAAAATTGCCAGTCTATGAGGAAATGAAAGGAAAACTACAAGCTTATGTTACAACGTCGGAAGCCTCTGAAAATAATCCCACAAATTGCACGCTACGTCAGCAGGCCTATACGCTACTGTTCGACATTGCACATATCCGAAATGTCTTGCGACGACAAGAAGTCAATGAAATCTTTCTGAGGCATACAGAGACATCGCAGGATGCCAAATTTGAAGAAATCAAAAAGAATTTGCTGGAGAATGATTTGCCTTCTATGGCGCATCAAGTGGAAAATTTCATCGCCAGCCTGGATGCAGTTGGCCGGAAAGAAAACCAAGATCTTATTAATTGGTTTAATGTTCTGCAAACCAAAACTACGGACGAAGACAAGCTTGCTTCTTTCTATGCTATTCTTGAAATATTCCTAAATGAAAATGGACGTGAAACGAAAGGCGGACATGTCAATTGTCGTTTAACGGTTTTCCGAACAAGTTATGAGCAAATTGTGCAGGGGGTGCTCAATACGTACTTCACAGACCTAAATCAGAACGATGAGGAATAGCTCCTAAACAACTGATTACTTTTTCAGCGATCTTCAATAAAAGTCTTTAAATTTTAAAATAACCTTTCAAAGTACCCCCTATTAACCTGGGGTTTCAAGGAATAAACGTAGATTTAAAAAAATCAAGGATTTTCTCAAACGTGGATTTTTTAGAGAATATTTTTCCAAGGACAAAGGAAAGTGGATTTTTAAAAAATATTTTTTCAAGTATCCTTAGACCAAGAAACGTGAATTTTTAATGAATATTTTTTCAAGGACCTTAGACCAAGAAACTTGGATTGAAAGGACCATCAGTTTTTAAAGAATATTTTTTTATGGACCATCAGTTTAAGTTTAAGAAACGTGGATTTTTAAAGCATATTTTTTGAAGGACCGTTAGACCAAGAAACGTGAATTTCTTAAAGAATATTTTTTCAAGGACAAATAGTTGAAGAAACGTGGATTTTTTAAAGAATATTTTTTCAAGGACCAATAGTTGAAGAAACGTGGATTTTTTAAAGAATGTTTTTTCAAGGACAAAGGATCAAGAAACGTGGATTTTTTAAAGAATATTTTTTCAAGGACTCTTAGACCAAGAAGGGTGGATTTTTTAAAGAATATATTATCAAGGACCCTTAGACCACGGAACGAGCTTTTTTAAAGAATATTTTTTCAAGGACCCTAAGACCAAGAAACGAGCATTTTTTATAGAATATTTTTTTAAGGATTTTCTCCAACGAGAATAATTTAAAATCTATTTTTTTCAAAGATATTTACAAACGTGGATTTTGTAAAAATATTATCGCGAAAATATTCTGGATGATTGAAAAAATATTCTTTAAAAAATCCAAGTTTCTTGGCCTTTTGGTCCTTGGAAAAATATTCTTTAAAAAATCCAAGTTTCTTGGCCTTTTGGTCCTTGGAAAAATATTCTTTAAAAAATCCAAGCTTCTTGGCCTTTTGGTCCTTGAAAAAATATTCTTTAAAAAATCCAAGTTTTTTGGTCTTTTGGTCCTTTAAAAAATCCACGTTTCTTGGTCTTTTGGTCCTTGAAAAAATATTCTTTTAAAAATCCACGTTTCTAGCTCTGATGGTCCTTGAAAAAATATTCTTTTAAAAATCCACGTTTCTAGCTCTGATGGTCCTTGAAAAAATATTCTTTTAAAAATCCACGTTTCTAGCTCTGATGGTCCTTGAAAAAATATTCTTTTAAAAATCCACGCTCTGATGGTCCTTGAAAAAATATTCTTTTAAAAATCCACGTTTCTTGCTCTGATGGTCCTTGAAAAAATATTCTTTTAAAAATCCACGTTTCTAGCTCTGATGGTCCTTGAAAAAATATTCTTTTAAAGTCCACGTTTCTAGCTCTGATGGTCCTTTAAAAAATATTTTTTAAAAAATCCACGTTTCTTGGTCTTTTGGTCCTTTAAAAAATATTTTTTAAAAAATCCACGTTTTTTGTTCTTTTGGTCCTCTAAAAAATATTCTTTAAAAAATCCACGTTTCTTGGCCTTTTGGTCCTTGAAAAAATATTCTTTAAAAAATCCACGTTTTTGGCATTTTGGTCCTTGAAAAAATGGTTTTTGAAATAATATTCTCTAAAAATCCAGATTTCTTGGTCTTTGAAAAAAAAAAATTAAAAGCTACCTTTTTGGCAATGGATTTAACGAATTTATTCAAAATTTGGTTGAATATTTTCAAAATGTCGATACAGTTTTATCCCGGATTCACATGTATTACCACGGTATTCCAAGCGATTTCTCACAAATTTCCTGTCAACTATGAACTTATTTAGAAATTCCAAAATTGAGTTATATTTCTCTTTTTCCGTTGCCGAAGTCAGATATTTTTGACACCACGACAATAATTCGGAGAATTTTCCTTTCTCATTTTCCTCGATGCTGCTGACAAAGTCATTGAGGATTTTTGGCAGTTGGTCATAGAGTGCTTCTCGGGTCTCTTGAAAATTTGCCATTTGATCGGCATCATATTTTCGATATTGTTTTTCGACGGCTTCTTTGGGAAAATCGTCCTGAAACATTTTCGCCAATTTATCAAGACGGGGAAAACGATTGTGTTTTTCACGATTCATACGTCGAAAATAATCGGACAATTCCTGATAGGCCTGGCAATTAGTTTGGTCCACCTTGAGCCTATCGACATAACATTGGAAATTTTCAATATATTCTTGAAGGGCTTCATATTCCGATGGGTCGTAGTCGGGATTGGCTCTATGTGATTCCATAAAAGATGATGAAATTTTCAAAAGCTCCACGATGTGCAAACTATCGTCCATGAGTTTCTGGGACATGCCGTTGAAAATTGTGGTTCGTACAAAATTAAGTAAGGGGGAGCTCTTATCACCTGACAGGGCATCTATGGAATTTACCTAAAATGAAAAATGTTGGAAAGTGGAAAATGTGGAAAATTGAAATATGAAGGAAGTACCTGCAGCAGCAATATCCACAAAAGTATAAAAGTGAAAAGCTTCCGAATTTTCATTTTCTGTTTTCAGTTTTCCGGTTACTAAACAATTGGGTTCAGATTACATGTACGGAATGCCGATAGTGCCTATTTGGAAAATACATATTTGTTTTTACGTCATTCTCAATAATCTGTAATGAAAATCAATCATCCGATTAATTGAATTGATTCCAAGAAAAATGTTTGAACGTCGTAATTGCATTGTTTGTTTAGGAGGCCTATACAAGGTCTGATTAGAAACATAGTTATTTTTGGATCAGATCTCGTTCACTGTTTCAATAAAAATAAAAATTAAAAAATTTGAATGAAATATTCTTTAAAAAATCCACGTACCTTCAACTGATGGTCCTTGAAAAAATATTCTTTAAAAAATCCACGTATCTTCAACTGATGGTCGTTGGAAAAATATTCTTTAAAAATCCACGTATCTTCAACTGATGGTCGTTGGAAAATTATTCTTTAAAAAATCCACGTATCTTAAACTGATGGTCGTTGGGTCTTTAAAAAATCCACGTATCTTCAACTGATGGTCGTTGGAAAATTATTCTTTAAAAAATCCACGTATCTTCAACTGATGGTCGTTGGGTCTTTAAAAAATCCACGTATCTTCAACTGATGGTCGTTGGAAAATTATTCTTTAAAAAATCCACGTATCTTAAACTGATGGTCGTTGGGTCTTTAAAAAATCCACGTATCTTCAACTGATGGTCGTTGGAAAAATATTCTTTAAAAAATCCACGTATCTTCAACTGATGGTCGTTGGAAAAATATTCTTTAAAAAATCCACGTATCTTCAACTGATGGTCGTTGGAAAAATATTCTTTAAAAAATCCACGTATCTTCAACTGATGGTCGTTGGAAAAATATTCTTTAAAAAATCCACGTATCTTCAACTGATGGTCGTTGGAAAAATATTCTTTAAAAAATCCACGTATCTTCAACTGATGGTACTTGGAAAAATATTCTATAAAAAATCCACGTATCTTCAATTGATGGTCGTTGGAAAAATATTCTATAAAAAATCCACGTATCTTCAATTGATGGTCGTTGGAAAAATATTCTATAAAAAATCCACGTATCTTCAACTGATGGTCGTTGGAAAAATATTCTTTAAAAAATCCACGTATCTTCAACTGATGGTCATTGGAAAAATATTCTTTAAAAAATCCACGTATCTTCAACTGATGGTCGTTGGAAAAATATTCTTTAAAAAATCCACGTATCTTCAATTGATGGTCGTTGGAAAAATATTCTTTAAAAAATCCACGTATCTTCAACTGATGGTCGTTGGGTCTTTAAAAAATCCACGTATCTTCAACTGATGGTCGTTGGAAAAATATTCTTTAAAAAATCCACGTATCTTCAACTGATGGTCATTGGAAAAATATTCTTTAAAAAATCCACGTATCTTCAACTGATGGTCATTGGAAAAATATTCTTTAAAAAATCCACGTATCTTCAACTGATGGTCGTTGGAAAAATATTCTTTAAAAAATCCACGTATCTTCAACTGATGGTCGTTGGGTCTTTAAAAAATCCACGTATCTTCAACTGATGGTCGTTGGTAAAATATTCTTTAAAAAATCCACGTTTCTTGGTCCTTGAAAAAATATTCTTTAAAAAATCCACGTTTGTTGTTCGGATGGTCCTTGAAAAAATATTCTTTAAAAAATCCACGTTTGTTGTTCGGATGGTCCTTGAAAAAATATTCTTTAAAAAATCCACGTTTGTTGTTCGGATGGTCCTTTAAAATTATATTCTTTAAAAATCCACGTTTCTTGGTCTTTTAAAAAATTCACGTTTCTTGGTCCTTTAAAAAATTCACGTTTCTTGGTCTTTTAAAAAATTCACGTTTCTTGGTCCTTTAAAAAATCCACGTTTCTTGGTCGAAGGGTCCTTTAAAAAAATATCCTTAAAAAATCCACCTTTCTTGGTTCTTTAAAAAAATATTTTTTAAAAAATCCACGTTTCTTTGTCCTTTAAAATTATATTCTTTAAAAATCCACGTTTCTTGGTCTTTTAAAAAATCCACGTATCCTGGTCCTTTAAAAAAATATCCTTAAAAAAAATCCACGTTTCTTGGTCCTTTAAAAAAATATCCTTAAAAAAATCCACGTTTTTTGGTCCCTTAAAAAAATATCCTTAAAAAAATCCACGTTTTTTGGTCCTTTAAAAAAATATCCTTAAAAAAATCCACGTTTCCTGGTCCTTTAAAAAATATTCTTTAAAAAATCCACGTTTCTTGCTCCTTGAAAAAAATATTATTTAAAAAATCCACGTTTCTTGGTCGTTGGAAAAATATTCTTTAAAAAATCCACGTTTCTTGGTCCTTGAAAAAATATTCTTTAAAAAATCCACATTTCTTGGTCCTTTAAAAAAATATTCTTAAAAAAAATCCACGTTTCTTGGTCCTTAAAAAAAAAATATTCTTTAAAAAATCCACGTTTTTTGGTCCTTTAAAAAATATTCTTTAAAAAATCCACGTTTCTTGGCCCTTCAAAAAATATATTCTTTAAAAATCCACGTTTCTTGGTCCTTAAAAAAAATATTCTTTAAAAAATCCTCTTTTTTTGGTCCTTTAAAAAATATTCTTTAAAAAATCCTTTAAAAAATATTCTTTAAAAAATCCACGTTTCTTGGTCCTTAAAAAATATTCTTTAAAAAATCCACGTTTCTTGGTCCATTAAAAAAATATTCTTTAAAAAATCCAAGTTCCTTCAACTGATGGTCCTTAAAAAAAAATCTTTAAAAAATCCAAGTTCCTTCAACTGATGGTCCTTAAAAAAAATCTTTAAAAAATCCAAGTTCCTTCAACTGATGGTCCTTAAATAAATATTCTTTAAAAAGTCCACGTTTCTTCAACTGATGGTCTTTTAAAAAATATTCTTTAAAAAATCCACGTTTCTTCACCCGATGGTCCTTGAAAAAATATTCTTTGAAAAATCCCTTCTCTTCTTCCCCTTTTGAACATCCTTTTTTTTCTCTTATATAAATAACATAATCATCATTACGAAATCCAATTACAACTTTTGGTTTATTTGAAAACATCTAAACAAAAACTAATATTCAAAGTAATTTCAACTTCAACTCTTACACAGAGAGTGAGAGAGAGAGTATGTCAATTATACTTGAAACCAAAGGGTGAATTCGTCTTCAAGGCTGCAGTTTATCCTGGCATTCAGAAGAAATCATAAAGAAAATCAAAACAAGAAATAATTTACGAACTAGTTTTAGAAAATTGTTTGAGAACAGCAGCCAGTAATGATGATGACGAACATGAGTAGAGGCGAACCCATTTCCACAGCGTTCTGTGGAAATTAACCATTGCCGTCGTTGTATTCAGTGATTAACTTAAGGAACTATCCGACGATAATGACTTTGATGATAATAACAACCATATTCATATCTGCACTCCTTGCTCTCCTCTACCTCTCCTTTCCCCTCTCCCTTCACTATTTTGGATACACTGACTATGAGGTAGCATTCGAAGCTATTTTGTTATTAATAATAGCCCTAATTAGGTTGCAATGGTATTAGTAACTGTCCTTCCTAACAAGGCGATGGCAATTTCTTTCATGCTATTCCATTCCCTCCATCTATTCAACACCCTGTTCTGCTCTTGATTTTCTTTGACTTTCATAATGCAATTAAAGGATAGTTATTTTCTTACCAAAGCACATACTCTCAGATTAAATGAAAAGGATTGCAACTACGTGGTTTTTATAGGACTTTTTATAAGAGCCGGTGCGTGTGTCTTAATAAATTATGACCTTCAGGTCAATGATAATTTGTCTCCTTTAATGTTCGGCATTAGTAAATAAAGAGACTTTCTTTAAGAAAATAAGCCCTTAGAGAACTTTCACGGAATATAACGAATTATTTTTACAGAAAAGTGGATTTTTTAAAGAATTTTTTAAGGACCACCAGTTGAAGAAACGCGGATTTTTTAACGAATAATTTTCCAAGGACCATCAGTTGAAGATACGTGGATTTTTTAAAGAATATTTTTTCAAGGACCAACAAATGTGGTTTTTTTTTAAGAATATTTTTCACAAGGACCTTTAGTTGAAGATACGTGGATTTTTTAAAGAATATTGTTCCAACGACCATCTGTTGAAGATACGTGGATTTTTTAAAGAATATTTTTCCAAAGGCCATCTATTGAAGATACGTGGATTTTTTAAAGAATATTTTTTTCGGACCATCTGTTGAAGATACGTGGATTTTTTAAAGAATATTTTTTCAAGGACCATCAGTTGGAGATACGTGGATTTTTTAAAGAATATTTTTCTAACGACTATCAGTTGAAGATACGTGGATTTTTTAAAGAATATTTTTCCAACGACCATCTGTTGAAGATACGTGAATTTTTTAAAGAATATTTTTCCAAAGGCCATCTGTTGAAGATACGTGGATTTTTTAAAGAATATTTTTCCAACGACCATCAGTTGAAGATACGTGGATTTTTTAAAGAATATTTTTCCAACGACCATCAGTTGAAGATACGTGGATTTTTTAAAGAATATTTTTCCAACGACCATCAGTTGAAGATACGTGGATTTTTTTAAAAAATATTTTTCCAACGACCATCAGTTGAAGATACGTGGATTTTTTAAAGAATATTTTTCCAACGACCATCAGTTGAAGATACGTGGATTTTTTAAAGAATATTTTTTAATTTTTTTTTAGAATATATTTCCAAGGACGAAGTTTATAATGTATTCGCTTGCCGCCATCAATGTTTTCCTCGTCAACGTCATGGGAATTATGTTACTGGGTAGAGTTTCCACTGGCTGCCTTATCATGTCGACCATAAAATTGTAAAGTTTTTTCTTCAACTACTTCCTGTGAGCCGAAGACAACACTTTTTATTTTTCTTTGCATATTTTATTTTGTTTATATTTTTTAAAACATAATACAGTTTTTAGTACTGCGTTTATGACGGGAATAATTTTTAACTGGGTTTGAGTTTAACGTCGGTCCACATTTAAATTGTTACGATTATGGTCTTTTATTGGGCGCAAAGAATGGAAGAATATAAGGATATTTACCAAACATTTATTAGCAGCACAAATGGTGTTAATCTCTCTCTCGTTTTCTTCAGTAAATGCCGGCAAATATTGCGGCAGGACTTAATTTTATGCAAAACTGTTTCTCTTATTTTCTTTGAGATTTTTTTGTGGCATACTTTTAGGCCATAAATCATATTCATAGATTCGCTTGGTAGACCCATAAACATGG